ATCTTTCTTTCGGTGTTTTCAAATTTTGAAAAAAAAAATAACAAACCAAAAAATTTTAAGGTTACTTTTGTAATAATTCAAATACCCATAACTCAATTTTTTCAAATGAAATACCCCAATTTTTATTTTACTAAATAGAAGAGAATGTAATTGTGCATTGATCTTTATTAACATTCTCTATACCTAAATTTAATAATTTTTAAGTTGTGGTGACTTTTTGTTGAGACTGCCGAAAATCTGTTATTAGCCACATTCGTTTTCGTACAGTTTGCTATGGAAATAAAAAATGTCAAAATTGTTTCTCAATAAATGTCGACAGTGACTTATTATTTGACAAATAGGGCCAAAATATGGAGAGTCAAAGCTACTCAAACTTAGATTTAATTAATTTATTTTGTATTTATGGTGAGTGTAACAAAATTATGATATCGTTCATTAAACAAAAATAAATTTTTCTCACTTGTTAGCTTTAAATAATGATTGCATGGTAGAAACTATCAATAATAATTAAGTTTGCATAACTTTGATTCTCCATATTTTGGCACTATTTGGCAAATAATAAGTCACTGTCGACATTTATTGAGAAACAATTTTGACATTTTTTATTTCCATAGCAAACTATGTGAAAACGGGTATGGCTAGTAATAAATTTTCTGTAGCATTAAAAAAAAACCATAACCTGAAAATTATTAAATTTAGGTATAGGGAATGTTAATACAGATCAATGCACAATTAAATTCTCTTCTATTTAGTTAAATAAAAATTGGTGTATTTCATTTGAAAATATTGAGTTATGAGTACTTGAATTATTACAAAAGTAACCTTAAAATTTTGGGATATGTTTTTTTTTTCAAAATTTGAAAACACCAGAAAAGGGATCTAAGCTTTCTCTTTCAAACGGAAAAAAAACGAATTTAAAATCTTAAAAAATGGCAAAGTTAACGGTTTTTATAGTGGAAGGTGCAAATCCAAAAATTTATGAAAAACTCCAAATATTTCAAAAACGGCTAAATTTAGGTCTAGGGAAAGCTGATGAAAACTCCTTTAAAATAACCTGATTAATCCAAAAACGCAGTAAAAAATATACCTTTCCATTTAAAATAAGAAAGTTGAGAGCGACTTCCGGTATAACCGGAAGTGCCGCCATCTTGAAAATATTTTCATTTAGGAGGACTTAATGGTTTATGGCTATGTACCAATTTTCAAATAAATACAATTATTCCAACTCCCAATACTTCTAAAGTGGGGTTTAGACGGAACAGCCTGTATAGTACTTTCCACGCACATTTATACCGTCGTCCTTTCTTTCGTATTCCAACTACGCTTGCCACTTCTGCTGCAGGAGGGCAAAGGCTTCTAAAGATAGCGAACGCAGCCTGTTGGCTGCCTATAACCTCCTCCGTGTTTTCATAATTGTCGCGCGGACAATTTACATGAATAAGTCGATTTCTAAGTGCAAAAGACATTTAGGAGTTTATGCACTTTAAATGGGTTGGTTTCTATGCTCTTACGCTCTTCCTGCTGGGCTATGGCCATGGTAACTCTGCTCTATACACTACACAGCAGGAATGAGGAAAGGCTAAGAAACGAGGTGCGAACGCCCGCAGAAAAATACAGCAGAAACTCGAAGCAGGAAACAGCCTGGAGAACAGGCTTCAAGTGGCAGAAAGTCAGAAACTGTGATCAAAAATACACAGGCTCAGACACATGAGCTGTCTATCAAACTCATTGTGTATTATCGACCGAAACAGCGTCGCGGCGTCGCGTTCGTAGCGCACTGCAATATGCGATACGTTTATCCTGCTCCAGATGGCGCTATTTGCGTTCTATTTACATCTATGTCTACAGGCTGTTCCCTCTAAACCCCACATTAGAAGTGTTGGAAGTTCGAATAATCGTATTTATTTGAAAATTGGTACATAGCCATAAACCATTAAATCCTCCTAAATGAAAATATTTTCAAGATGGCGGCGCTTCCGCTTATACCGGAAGTCGGTCTCAACTTTCTTATTTAAAATAGAAAAGTATATTTTTACAGTGTTTTTGGATTAATCGGGTTACTTGTATTTTAAGGGAGTTTTCATCAGCTTTCTCTATACCTAAATGTAACCGTTTTTGAAATATTTGCAGTTTTTAAAAAAATTTTGGATCTGCACTCTAAAAATCGGTAACTCTGCCATTTTTTAAGGTTTGGAATTCGTTTTTTTGGCGTTTGAAAGAGAAAGCTTAGATCCTTTTTCTGATGTTTTCAAATTTTGAAAAAAAAAATAACATCCGAAAATTTTAAGGTTACTTTTGTAATAATTCAAATACTCATAACTCAATTTTTTCAAATGAAATACCCCAATTTTTATTTTACTAAATAGAAGAGAATTTAATTGTGCATTGATCTGTATTTACATTCCCTATTTAATAATTTTCAAGTTATGGACTTTTTTTTAAGACTACAGAAAATTTATTACTAGCCACGCCCGTTTTCACATAGTTTGCTATGGAAATCAAAAATGTCAAAATTGTTTCTCAATAAACGTCGACAGTGACTTATTATTTGACAAATAGTGCCAAAATATGGAGAATCAAAGTTATGCAAACTTAATTATTCTGATAGGTTCTACCATGCGATTATTATTTAAAGCTAACAAGTGAGAAAAATTTATTTTTGTTTAATGAACGACATCATAATTTTTTTACACTCTCCATAAATACAAATAAATTAATTAAATCTAAGTTTGAGTAGCTTTGACTCTCCATATTTTGGCCCTATTTGTCAAATAATAAGTCACTGTCGACGTTTATTGGAAACAATTTTGACATTTTTGATTTGCATAGCAAACATGGACCTAGTATTAGTTAATACTATCTCTATGATAGCAAACTATACGAAAACGGATGTGGCTAGTAATAATAGATTTTCGGCAGTTTTAACAAAAAGTCACCATAACTTAAAAATTATTAAATTTTGGTATAGGGAATGGTAATACAGATCGATGCAGAATTAAATTCTCTTCCATTTAGTAAAATAAAAATTGGGGTATTTCATTTGGAAAAATTGAGTTATGGGTATTTGAATTATTACAAAAGTAACCTTAAAATTTTAGAGTCTGTTATTTTTTTTAAATTTGATAACACCAAAAGAAAGTTTTAAGCTTTCTCTTTCAAACGCCAAAAAAACAAATTCAAATTTAAAAAAAATAGCAGAGTTACCGATTTTTAAAGTGGAAGGTGCAGATCCAAAAATTTTTGAAAAACTCCAAATATTCCAAAAACGGCTAAATTTGGGTATAGGGAAAGCTGATGAAAACTCTCTTAAAATAATCCGATTAATCCAAAAACGCAGTAAAAAATATAGCTTTCAATTTAAAATAAGAAAGTTGAGACCGGTATAACCGGAAGTGCCGCCATCTTAAAAATATTTATTAATTATTTAAATATGATTATTCGAACTCCCAATACTTTTAATGTGGGGTTTAGACGGAACATACTGTATAAAGTTACTTTATTCCACTAGTGGATAAACTGGTACTTGATACGCATCTAAAATGTGGAATAAAGTCTCTTTATAGAGTGATTATGGATAAACTTCATTATTTACAAAGTATAAAAAGTGTAACGATTTAATATCACAAAATAAAAAAATCGATTTTGGTAAGTAGTTGTTACAAAAACAAATTATAAAAAAATTATAAATCGCATTATATTCTCGTTATGGTATATATTAATAGACAATGTAGAATCGTAATATTTAGGATGTGAATGAGGTTGCGATAATATTATGTCTAGTATTCAATTAGAAATGCAAACTAAAAAATTAGCTAAAAATTTACAAGTTTGGTTAATCAGAATAAGAACAATTTCTATAACAGAAAAAATTGTTTTTCATAGTAAACTCGGTTTTTTTTAAGAGTAAGCCGATGTTTTAGCGTATTTTTTGAGGGATGTTTATAGACCGTACCAACGCTCGACCATCGACCGTCTTCTGTTTAATAAAAAACACTCAAAAGTCAAAATGCGTATTCGTTATTAACAATGCGTTTGTTTTAACTAATATAGTTTCTGTATTTAGATAGTATCTAAATATAGGAACTCTAAACTAATATTAACAATATACACAATACTTGGTCCAGAAGTAAAGAAGCCATTTTGAGGTATTTAAAATAAGAGATTTTATTTGTTTAATATTTTTACCGCTCGCCATTCCGACCAGTGAATTTTTTGCATGCGCCAATTGGCATGGTCCAAAAATAGTCATTTTAGGGTGTCTAAAAACATTGATTATTGGCATTGGAATATGGTTAATCAATGCTAAAAACAAGGAATGCTGAAAGGTTTTTTGGGTGCTTTTAATTTAATCATGTTTGATTTTGGATGATTTTCAGCAGTTTTCCTAGGTGCTCATTTTTTGGTGGTCTACAGAAATTTGGTACTTTTGGGAAACAGCTAAATTTTTAGGGTTCTGCCTTGTTTTTTGAAGACGCCAAATGTCCTGGTCCAGAAATAAGAATCCATTTTGGGATGCTTAAAAACAAGGCATTTTGTAAGTTTTTGACATCTTTTTCGGATGTTTACTTTTGGAAAAACACTAAATTTGTCTGTTCTTGTTGGTCTATAGATATCTAGGTACTTTTGGGGTGAATAAAAATTAATGCTTTTTGAAGGGTTTTAGGCCTTTTTCTGTCTTGCTTTTTAAGACGTCACATGCCCTGGTCCAGAAGTAAAAAGCCATTTTGGCGTGTGTAAAAACAAGGTATTTTATTAGTTTTTAAGGGCGTTCTTGAGATAATTTTGCATTATTTTGGGAGATTTTAACGGTTTTTTCGTTTGCCCAATTTTTGGTCGCCTACACATATTTGGGTACTTTTGGGCAAACAGCTAAATTTGTAAGATTCTGCCTTGTTTCTTAAGACGCCAAATGTGCTGGCCCAGAAGAAACATTTTATACTCTACTAAAAATATTTTAGTAAATGGTATATACTAGTGTTTTGGGAAAAAATACTCGAGGATACTTAAATTCACAATTTATTCTTTTTATATATCATACAAGACCATATATTACACAATATGTGTAAGTTTTATGCTCATCATAGCATTGTAAAAATCTGGTAATAAGGAAAAACGTACCATTTTTACAATGCTCGTATTTAACATGATAAGATTAATTTATACTTATACGAAAAAGAAAAAAACATACCCAAGAAATGTCTTTACAAAAATAACAATTACGTTTAAAAAAGTACAGCAGTTATTCTAATATACAAGTAATAAGAATTAATAAATTATGGTATGTTGTTTATAAAACTCGGAGAAAAAATCTAGTGTGTCGATCAAAAATCAGATCGAAAAAAATCTTGAATCAGTTTCAATAATTTATGTTATAAAATGCAACACTATAAAACCTTTACATGAATGGCTCAATTAGAATGCAAACCGACTATATTACAAGTTAACAAAACGAAACGCTGGGATCACAAAATCCCACACAATAAAAAACTAATAAATTTTATTACTTCAGTTACAATCGCCTATTATAATAAAACGAATCAGTTCAAAATAAGAAAAGATAAATATTAATCTTAAAAATCAAAAAAATTACACACAATCAACAAACATTTTTACTGTTTATCCTGCAATTTCTCTTCTCGGGGCTTCGCCCCGCCAAAAATCGTCGACGACTGCGACGTCTCTGCTAAAGCATTTACCGGATCTTTGATCGTTCGAGGCTGCAATTTCAGTTTCGGCCTCCCTGATGTGTCTAAAAACCCCAAATTCATAAAAACATTTAAAAAAAACACCTTTTTTACCTGGCGCCGGATTTGGCAAATCTTCAGTGAAGGACCTCCTCTCCTGTCGGGCTCTGCCCCCGAAGCCGCCGGCATTGCCGCGATTGCCGCGCGAAGAAGACCACTCTCTGGGGCCGTCCTCGGCCGAAAAGTTGCCGTAGTTGCCTCTGTTTCCTCCCCTATCTGTAATCCACCCCACAATGAAAAATTTCCACGACTTAAACTCCTTTTTACCGTTGAAAGAGCCTCCGCGACCGCCGCCTCTCCGGTCGAATTCTTCGAACCGGTGATCGCCGCCTCCGGGACGCGGCCCGCGGAAACCGCCACCTGCGCCGCCGCCACCGCCTCTACCGCCGCGGCCTCGGTCGAAACCGCCCCCTCGTTCGCTGCGTTTGCCCTCCGCTACGTCTATTTTGATGTTGTGATTCTCGACTTCTACCATTCCGTTCAAGTTGATCGCTTGCTCCAGGTCGTGAAGGGTGGCGAATTCGACATAACAAAAGCCCTTGAATTGGGAAATTGAGAAAAATTCCAAAAATATCCACACAAAAAATTGGATTTTTTTATTTAGAGCTTGTGCGATTTCGCAATTTTTACATTTACGTATGAACGTGTTTCAAAATTATTTAAATGAGTTAGTGTACTCACAAGTTGTAAATAAAAGTAATTTCAGTACAAATCTTGTTTTATTTCCTTTGTTTACACATTTTGATAAACAAACAGTCGTAATAATGTGCGTGCAAATGAACGAAAACAATTTTCGAATCCAAGGCGGCGTTGAACAATTGTCATTTGAGTTTAAAAAATGGTGATCAAGTGAAACATATTTTTAGTGTTAAATGTGGAAATTTCGGAGAATAAGTGAAGGAAAATAAAGGTTAGTTATTCAAATTGATAAACATTCAATTTTTGATGTTTTGAACTTTTGTTGTTAAGTCTGGCGTTGGTAACTGCCAATTCGATCGATCATGAAATGTAGGAAAAACAGTAATTCTTTTGAAAAGTTAACATTTATTTACTGAAAAATTAAGTTTAAGATATCAAAACTGCATTCTTTAATTCAGTTTTGCAAAAATTAGGTGATCTTAATCATTTGATATTTTTTATCGTTTTTAGAATCAAGTGCGGCATTGATAAATTGACAGTTGAAACAATAATCCAAATTTCTGATAATAATGTGTTTATGATTTAATTTACAACAATAATAACAATTATTTTAGAAATTTAGAAATCATGGTACTTACCTTTTTAAAAAATGATTTTTCCCTGTTATTAAAAACAAAATGAGTATGGTAAACAACGTCAGAGCCTCCTTTGCCTTGAAAATGGCAAATATTAAGTTACATGAACCAATCAAGTTTAAGCGCAGCCAACTACTAGCTACCACAATTCACAACGAAAATGGGCTATTTTTTTGTAAAAAAGAGCAAACAAAACAAGATTTTGTGTACAAACAAGCGAGTGGCGTCACTTTCACGCGCTTTCAATTGCAAGCGCTAAAACCACGCCGTGGGTTGGATAAACTAAACGAAGGGTGTCCCACGTGGGGCCCTTGTTTGGGGGTGAGTACCGGTTAAAAATCTACCTTGAACTTGTCGGTTTCCTTGTCCATAACAAGCCTGACGTTCTTAACGTTGAGATCTTTGAAAATCCGATTAACGTCCCCTTGGACCGTCCCATTCGGTAAATTTCCGATGTAGGCTGTGAATGGGGGTTCCGTCGGAAAAGGCTTCCTGCCGCCCCTACGGCCGCCGCCGCCTCCGCCGCCGAAATCCCTGGAAAACAAACCGCGTGTGAGTCGGAGCGCGCTCACGCCGTCACCGCCGCGCCGCCGCCGCCAAACGCCGGCGTTTCGGTATCGAAAAGGTGCGTCGCGACGCAGATGATAATGTTGATATGTCGCAAAAGACAATCTCACTCATAGTTGATAAAAAAATTCAATTTACCTGTTGTCTCTATCTTCATAACCGCTACGACCGGCCATGTTTGATTTCCAGGGACATGCGCTGGAGGATTTTTGACAGAATGTGGAACAGGCTAGCCAAATTTACCGCATTGTTATCACTAGGTTTATCAAACACTGATAATTTTTGAACGCGACGATTCAGTTCCAAAGAATGATAAATGGGAAATCAATGTACGGAATTGGGAGATTTTTAATTGACATGTGTCATAAAATTTTTGTTTATTTATTTTAGTCGTCAAAGATACAACGCAAATTACAGATTCCTGTAACAACAAAACTTAAAGCTACATAAATAAACATTTCGCTCCTTATAGGTTTATCTTAAAGCTCTCGCATTCATAAATGCAACAAAAATAACAATTCTAATCATAAATAAAAAACCTATGGCAAGTTTCTAACAAAATTACAGATTCCTGTAATAAAAAACAAAACGTATTTTGGCTTTTTCTACTCGTAAAAATAAAAAATTTTATTCACAACCCATCCCCTCGACATCTTCGACATTACTGTCAGTCTCCTGTAAAAATATATAAATTTTGGATTACAAAATGTGTATGAAAACTTACCGAATCTGTTAAAACATTTCCAAATATTTCAATCTGGGTTTTTTCTTGATGTACTACTTGTTTTTCCTTGGTATTTGAATAAATTATTTCAAATTTTGTTGAAACCTAAGAAATAACATTTACTTGAAGTATAGGTAACTTGGTAAAATTTTACGTCCGTAGTAAAAGGTAGAAATAATCTAAATTCAACTTACCGCCTCCAAATCGGCCTGAAGCAAGTAAAACAGTTCTTTCTGCACATTCACAGATGTCTCATCCTTATTTATCAAAGATTTCCGAAATCTCTTCAGTTTTACGTTCTTCAAAGGGGGCGTCAGACCGTGGACACATTCAGGGCCCCCATCGTAATTAATACAGTCCAAAATGTGACAGATATCTGCCGTTTTGACACAAATTGTCTTATTGCAAGTTTTAAGTGACTCAATAATTGTTGGCAATTTACGTAAGCGACCTTTTAGGGTCTTACCCGCGACATAAACAATTCCATTGCCTGATTCAGGATCCAAATCGATTTTTAGTTTTTTTCGAAGCTTTTTCGATTTTGTTGTTCGAACAAAATCGGCCATATTCTGAAAAAAGAGAATGAAACTGAAACAAATTTGAATCATGAATGCTTACCCGAGGCAGGCGAAGGATAAATTGATCCTCTAATTCAATTTTTGCGTCTTGTGGAGGCGATTTTGGATCCATTTTTGTTACTGTTTTTTCAAAGTTTTAAAAAACAAAGTTGGCGCGTGTCATTTGTCATTTTATGCACATGGCTGCCAACAGCAGTGCAATTTGTTTAGATTAAAAATGAGTATTATTGACGTAACTATTTATTTTTGTTAAACAATTTTACTTGTAATTATGTTACAGCAAGAAAATTAGGTCAACGTATTTTGTTTCTTAAAAAATTGGAGTTTTACTGTAATTTTTTAAGTTTGCCTTAGGTTGGTGTTCATGCTTGTCAGTTGTCATTTCTTTTGTGTGTGGATTATTGTTAACCTTCTTGCAATAAAGTTCCACATTTATTCGCAAAATAATTAAATTGTGCTCGTAATTAAAGTTAGTGTGAGTTATGACCTCTCCACTGTTATTGTCAGACTGCAAAAAAGCAGTTTCTGATTTAAAAAGTCTAAGTAATGACGAATTGGATAAGATAATGAACGATGAGGAAAAAATCGAAAACATTCTTTCATCTTTAGATCAGGTTTGTTTTAAATAAAATGACATCACATTCAACTCATTTTATAATTTTAGTCATATTTGAAAGAAATTGAAACACAAAAAGAGCGATTATTAGAGAGCAACAGAATCCTAGCCGAGGAGAACTTATCACGAGAGCCTGAATTAGTAGAAGGACGTGAAAAATTGCAAGAAATGAACCAACAAGCTGAAGAGTTATCTAAATCGGTTGAGGAGAAAGTCAAACAAATAAGTAAAATAATCAACTTGTCGTATTTCTTCATCTAATTCCATAATTGCAGAAAGTAAAAGTGGTGATTTGTCCCTTGAGACATCACTAGCGTTACTTCAAACGGCCGCAAGTGAAATGGAGGAAAAATCAGAAGCACTTGTAAAATCGTTTTTGGAAAACGAAATTGATTTAGAAAATTTTCTTGAGGAGTTTTTCACAAAAAGAAAACAAGTTCATTTAAGGTTGATAAAAGCGGAACAGTTGTCAAAAATTATTTCAAGGGGGGCTGTGGGAGGCACGTCAAATTATATGAATGCACCTGCAATTCCCATTAATACTAATTATTTCCCGGGGATTCCCACTCAGAATGTGCCTTATCCAACAGGACCCATTGGGATGCCCATGCCTGGGATTAATTATTTTCAAAACCATTTTTAAGTGTGATAAAAATAAGAAATGCATGCCCCCAATTATTAACAAATATATATATATTAAAGTTTATGTATTGTATAAATAAGAGAAAACATATTTTAGTGTTAGTTAATGAATAAAACAATTATAAATTATATAATTTTTATTTACAACTATTTACAATAAATAAATACTTTTATCATTTGTCTGGCTTAGACTTATCGATAATATGTTCCCCAAATATCACAACCTTGTTTGGATCATCGTAATCATCATAAAAAACATAAGCTGCCAACATTGCAACAACCCCAATTAGTAAAACCATTTTTTCCGCCTTTACATGTTCATTGAGTTCTTGTTCTCGTTTCATTTTCATTTTTTCTCTCGCCCTATACCTCAGAGTGTTTTGAAAAGTGGCCCCATAATGTGCCTTTGACCATTCATCAAAATCATACACTGTGGTTCTTCCGTATTCTGTAGGAGGTCTTGATTGGGTGTCCCTCGATTTGTAGAACTTCTTTAGCGGGATGTCATCTCGTACTACCCCACTTGTCGCACCCTCAAAGTACAAACCTTCAAATTTTATAAATCAAGGAAATTTTTGGGAATTTGCCAATAAATAATACCCCTGTCATAAAGTTTGCGTGATTTCACGTTCCCTAATACTTCGTACGCTTCGGTAATATCGCGAAATTTCTCTGCGGCGTCCTCGCTGTCTTTATTTCGATCAGGATGATAAACTTTTGAGAGTTTGTAATAGGCGGTTTTGACGTCAGCTTGTGTTGCTTTTGCTGAAATTCCAAGAGAGTCATAATGACTTTTCTTTTTTAAAGATCTTAGGCTAAAAGAGGTGTGAAATTTGCGTATATGAGACTCCAAAAGCCAAAAATAGGGACGACAAGGGTACATTTTGAGGTTAGCTTCGACGGATAAATTTTACAGCGACATAATCAATTGATTTAATCTAAAACAATGACTAAAAACAAATCTAATAAACAAGGATTAAATTACACACGGTTTTGTTTACCGTTCTTTCGTTTTTTTGTAATTATTTCACAAAATCGGAAGAAATTACACAAACGTCAAACGTCAAAAACACCGAATGGTTTCAGTAAACCGGGCTGCTATTTTTTTAATAAAATTATTTTTTTTTTTAACCAAATTGCAATAAAATTCAATTTGGACAATTTTTGGAAACATACGGTCGGTTTTTTTTTTCAAAATAACAATCACTTATATTTAAATTGCTATTTTTTTTACCCAAATTTCGGTGTACTGAATGACTTGCAACTGTCATTTTGACTCCGTCAATTGCCGTCAATGGTCATAACCTCACTTTCTAAGTAGACATTTTCCGATAAGGTTTATCACTTAAACTGTAAACAAACATTGAATTTTCTACAATTCATCAAAGATGCGTCCATTTTCGAAAGTGAATAAGTTATTTTTGGGCGTTTGTGTTGCGTCTGGGGCCGTTACATACTATTTTCTGAACGGTTCAAACAAGAAGGTTTACGCTTCTTGGACGTCGAATTACGAGCCTTCGGCACACGCAAGATGGGACGATAATTGGGACCAGTAATTGTGACTTAAAACCGGTATTTTTTTCCTAATTTGTAAATTTCAGCCGCTCACCGAAGTTTTTGTTACATCCAAAATATTCCAAAGATGAGAATAATAATCAGATTCATAGCGAAATTGAGGTAAATAAAGCTAAATCAGTTCGACATTTAATTTTAATACGTCATGGTCAATATAATGTTAATGGACAATTTGACGAAGACCGGACTTTAACAAAATTGGGTAAAATTCAAGCTGAATATACTGGAAAAAGACTCAAAGAATTAGGTCTACCTTACACAAAAATAATAAAGTCGACAATGTCTCGTGCGCAAGAAACCGGTTCAATTATCTCAACTTCTCTCCCAGACGTACCCGTAAAACACTGCGATTTGTTGCGTGAAGGGGCCCCTATACCTCCTGAGCCTCCAATAGGGTCGTGGAAACAAGAAATGTATGTAAGTAAGACTTCAAGAATAATTTTCCACCGATTTAATTGTTTTTGTTAGAAGTTTTTCGTTGATGGGGCACGAATTGAGGCCGCTTTTCGTAGGTATTTTCATAGGGCTGCGCCCCAACAAAAGGAAGACTCTTATACAGTTTTAGTGTGTCACGCTAATGTGATTCGGTATTTTGTGTGCAGGTAAATGTGGCTAAATTCGAGTTAATCTGTATTAATTGGGTTGGTAATTTAGGGCACTGCAATTACCGGCCGAGGCTTGGTTGAGGATGTCTTTGAATCATGCTAGTATTACTTGGATTACAATTACTCCAAGTGGGAGGGTGGTCTTAAGGTGCTTGGGGGATAGCGGACATATGCCCCCAGATGTCATCACGAGTCGATGAATTTTTAACAAATAAGCGCAAAAACACATTTTTATATTCATCTAATTGTATTTTTAAGTATTATTTTGTTTAGTTTATGAGAATTTCTTGCCATGATTTAATTTTTTTGATTTTATAATATCATCAAATAAAAGAATTTTAAGAGAAATTATAGGATTTAAAAAGCTAGCATTAGTTGAATTTTTTATTGAAAACAATTATCTTCCTTTTGTAAAATTAGAAAAAAGCTCCATCGGAATAGGGAAAATAATCGTCGAGTTTTTCTCTGCTGAAATATTACTTAATGTCTGTAAATACCGCAACTGAAACAAAAAAATCCCTAATTTTACTACCAATTTCAGGTAATTATACTTGAATTGCAGCTGGTGATTGAGTAATAGTATCAGCTGCCATTTTCAAAGCTTGAGCTGCGTTCTTTTCGCCCTCAGCTGCGATTATCTTAGCTTTAGCTTCACGCGACGCTTCAGCTTCGGCCGCCATTGCTCGTTGCAAGTTTTGCGGTAATCTGACATCAGTTCTACCAGCAGGAAAAAAATTAATAGCGCCAATTTTTAGTAATTTTGAAAATACATTTCGACTCGTTCTACTTTGACTCCCCATGGATCTGTAGCTTCATCTAATTGTGCCTGCATTAAATGTGCGATATTTTCAAGTTTTGTTAAAATTTCCATCAAGGTTTTTGTCCCTAAGACGTTTCGAAGAGTTGTCATTGCTAATAAATGTGTGGACCTCCTGAAATTTTTATAATTTTTTTTTTATATAAAAGAATTGTTATTTCTACTGAAAATCTTCCACTTTAAGGATGGCGGCGAGTGGGTCGTCGACTCGGAAATACACAACTGCGTCGACCCACATCGTGACTGAATCTTTAGTTAAGACCTGAAAAGTTAGTTCTCATTGCTGAAAAATTGAAACATTGTTACTTCTTGAGGAGGAATGTCAAAAGTGACAGTTCTGAGATCAATTTTGATGTATTCGTCTATACATGGAAGGATGAAAAAAATTCCGGGGCCTCGGGGACCCCCGGAACGGAGACGCCCCAACCGAAAAATAACAGCTCTTTCAAACTCTTGAACAATCTTAAAAGAAAAGTTTTTGACTTAAATTGTTGAAAAATTACTTACTTTGAGACAGGCAAATATGGAAAAGGGAAACGTTATAATGCAAAGGAAGTAAGAAGAGGCCGTCGCTGTACATTCGATGCATTTTCTCATTGCAAAAATGACAAAAATTGATTGACGTTCTTAATTTTTTAATTTGCTACAATAATTTACTTGCACATTAATAAGTGATTAAATAACTTGGCTTCCGTTAGTTCCATTATTGAAATTCAAGAAATAGCTGATTACGTCGATGGGTAAAGGAAATATAATCGTCGAATTTTTCTCAGCGGAAATGTTATTCAACGTTTGTAAATACCTCAACTGAAAAAACAATCATAAAATAAAACCTTTCATTAGCAAAATAATTACTTGTAGAGCCGCCGGTGATTCATTTATAACATCTGCAGCTTCTTTCAAAGCTCTTGAAGCTTTCATTTCACCTTCAGCTGCAATTACTTTAGCTCGAGCTTCGCGTGAAGCTTCAGCTTCAGCCGCCATGGCTCTTTGCAGCTGTTGTGGCAAAGAAACATCTTTACTGAAATGATTTTTAATTAAGTTTGATTAAAATGAAATCGGAGAAAATAGAACATTTCGACTCGTTCGACTTTAACGCCCCATGGATCAGTCGCAACGTCGAGATTTGTTTGCATAGCGTGCGAAATGGCCTCACGATCTGAAAGAACTTCGGCCAAATTGCGTGTTCCAAGAATGTTGCGGAGAGTCGTCATGGCCAAAAGTCGCGTCGAATTGCTGAAATTGCAAAAATTGGATTTTTTTCCAATTTGGGTTAGAAAAACCTGTAATTTGTGACTTTCGTGACTGCGTTTAAAGGGTCTTGAATGCGGTAATAGACAACAGCGTCGACTGTGACCGTGACTGAGTCTTTGGTTAGAGCCTGAAATTTTTAAAAATTACAACTAATACCAAAAATTTGAAAAAATTACTTCTTGTGGGGGTACATCGAATGAAACTGTCCGTAAATCAACCTTACGATAACTATCAACACATGGAAGGATGAAAAAAATGCCGGGGCCTCGAGCACCACCAGTTCGTAATCGGCCTAGACGAAAAATAACAGCTCTTTCGTATTCCTGAACGACCTGAAATATTTTTTGAAACAAAAACTGATCCGAGTTGGCTTTTAAACATACCCTGAAGCACCAAAAAAGCGAAAATGGAAGAGTGAGAATCAGAAGAAGCACAGAACCAAAAGTTGCGGCGTATTCCACACATCCCATATTGCTGGTTTTTTCTACAATTTAACGTTGAGTTTTTGTAGAAAAAGTTATTTTGACAAAATTTAAAGAAAATCGCCTTACCATACTCTAAGAAGCACTCATAACCGCCCGAATCTGTGCGTTTCCAGCCGACACTCATCAAAAATTTTAACTTTCAAAAACAATATTTGAAGTCGTTGAACAAAAAACGGATCACGATGATGATAGATATCAACAAGTACATTGACGTCCGACTAGAGAACGTAGTCTATTTAGAACGAAATTCTGTTTACACGAGTTGTGGAAATGAAAACAAACTTTTTGTTCTCTAATAATAAACCGAGACAAAGTTAAACGTCGAGATATTTTTTATTAACAAATAACAACAGCCTGGCCAACAGGAAGTGAAATGCATTGGTAATAAAGTGTGAATTTTTGCGAATTTTGATGTGAAACTAAAATAGAGCTGACTGGAAATGCTGGAAGTCAACACAGAGGAGGAACGAAAATAAACCGATGATAAATATTATTGATCTTTAGTGCGTTTTAGGATCGTAAAATTTGAAATTTATGGAAAATTTCAATCTGCGTTATTTTAACTGCTGGGAAATCACTAAATTGGTCTCAAATATTTTTTTAAAACTTTTTTATTTTGGTTATTATTTTGGGTAAAAAATAAATACATTTTACGACTTAACACCTTTCTGATACTTCAAAGCGTACGTATTATAATAATTGGGGGTTTCCCATTTCCCCACACATTCCTCGCCCTCATCTAAAACCATGTCAATCCGATCGTGGTCACTGCCACCCAAATAAATTCTTTTGGGGGCTAAACCATACTTGTAAAATTTTGGAAAAACTGCCTTTTTTGGTTTTTCTCGCTCGTCGACTTTATTGAGAAGAGGTTTTTCCATGGGTTTATCACAAATAATGCATCGACTGGCCCCATACACGTCCGGATTTAATGGAAATGGTAGTTTTCTGTCATCTAGGGTGAATCTATGGACGCACTCGTGTGGTGGAATCGGTTTGATTAGATCTTCGGTCGAGTGTGTCTCAAAGTAGTGATTTTTTCGAAAATCGGCCAAATTTTTTGTGTTTGTTTGGGGAACTTGAGGGGATTGGAGAGAGCTTTCGGAACTTCTAGGTGAAACCTCATCTAGTTGTTGGAAATCTTCTTTGTGTCTTGAAATCGGGTTATAATTGTATGAAAATGTTTGAAAATCGAAATTTTTTAAATTGTCTGATTTCCTGTACGTTTTTCCAGTTCCGTGCGTCGTGGGTGATGTTTCACTACTCGGATTATCAAAATACGCCGATTTATATTTTGTTATAAAATTCTGGTGTTTCGGTATTTCCCCGGGTCTATCAAAAATTAGCTTTTTCACGTGTTTCTTCTTGCAAAATTCTGGGATTTTGTAAGTTGTTTCGCTTAAATCGTCCTCAAAAACGCATTCTCGAGGTCTTGAAAATAATTGAGGTGAGATGTTACGTTCAATGCAGTAACAATTCCGTTTACTGGAATGTTTTCTGTCAGGATATAAAAGTGCCGCCACATTTGAGGAATTGTTTCGCATTTGCCAACTTTCACTAAAAAAATGTAATTACTAGAGTAATTTAAAAATTAATTAATGAATTACTTGCAATAACGTTGCCTAAATCTGACCATTGTGAAGAATTACGACAGGAGGATTTGTTTGTAGTCAAATGGTTACCAAAGAGACAAATTAATTTGAATTTGGCGCCACCAATTAAGGGATTTTTGCACGTCATTGTTTGAGTCGCAAAACACAAACGGTCGAAATAAATAATTATGTAATATAATTTATTAAATTATATATTGTATGTTGAATTTCACTTTTTGTGCTATTTAAAAAGATTAGTTTTGTTTATCTCAAACAAATAAGAAAATATTTCTGAACATTCGGAATTCTCGAGATCGTGTATTTTCGCCTGCGCATTAGATCGAATCTTGAATTTTATTTGTCAACTGTCAATTTTGCGTTTGTTTACTTTTAATATTTTTCTGTTATTTTTTGGTTCTTTTTGGTTTTAATATTAAATTGGTTTGCTTTGTTCACATAACAATGGAAAAAGGTAAGTATTACCGGTCAAAAAGCGTATTTTATTGTCAAACGTTTCTAGTAAAAAACGGTGTTATTTCGCCACCCCCAGCCCCAGACTTGAATGGAAACACCCCAAAGACCCTCAAAAATTGTAACGGAATTGCCAAAATCAAAGACCAAATTGTAACCGAAGACGGTCGTGTTTTCTACCCTTGCCAATTCTGTAACAAAGTCTTCCCAATTAAAAAATCGCGGACTTCACACATCCAGAAATGCCCGGCTAAAGAGTACATTTTATCAGTCGGGGATGACAGTAAAATTCTTGTGAAAAATCCTGAAAAACCATCCGAATTGAAGAAAATTGACATAAAGCAAAACATTGTTTTAAACGAACAAACAGACGTTGAGAAGGATTCATCAAAGTCACCTCCTATTAAGTTGACAATCAAACGCAGCCCCAGCAATGGTAACAAAGGTTCCGAACATTTCACAGTCTCAAATTCGCTCGTTTTGAAAGAAAAAAACGACACTGACGATTTTAACACAATTGCCAAAAGACTCGAAAGTAATTCAGTGACAATAACAAAGCAGTCTTCAAAAAACGACCAGAAACCGCCCCCTGAAAGCGATGATTTTAATGAGTTTACTTGTCGCGAGTGCAAGAAGGAATTCAGGTCCTCTTTGGAATTATTAAGACACGGACGGAAAGTTCATTCTTATCCCAAAGTCTTGATGGCTTTAAGCGAAGTTAAAAAGTTTTACACGTCGAAAGACAGGTCGGAGTGCCCCATCTGTCATAAACCTCTCAAAACGAATTTTCGGTCAGCGTTTGTTAAACATTTGCTTACGCATACGAATGAAATGAAGTATTCATGTAAAGTCTGTAACAAAAAATTCCGCAGGGCCGATCATATGAAAGCGCACGAGAAACGGCATGTTATTAAAGATAAGTAATTGTTAAGGATTTTATATTTTAGGCATATTTATTGTTTACTCAGTTAGACTTGTTAAGCAACCAGTTATGTATTTTTATGTATGGTTTAGCGTGTTACATTAATAATATACATTTTATCATTAATGTTTTTTAAAGTATGAAGATTGATTTGAGATTTGATTGGCATAGAATGTATCGCCATTTTTTGACAAATATATTTTTTGCACAAAATGTATTTTTTTGTTCTAAAACCTGAAGAGTTTGGCTCTAATTGCGCACAAAGTTCTTCGAAACCAGTAAATACAAAAAAGTGGTACAAGTATTAAAATTATTTGTAAAAAACATATTCATAAAATATTGTCTAATGGCATTGCAGTTAATCAACAGAAAAAATTAATTATTCTTGAAAGGTTTCAAGGTCAGTAATAGTATCTAAGGGAATAAACCGCAACCAGATTTTCTTTTTTGCTTTGATTTTTTCATGACTTTCCCATGTTTTTCTCTGATTTCTTCATGATTTCCCTAATATTGTATTGATTTCCTCAGCGTAACCGCAATCCAGATTATACAGAGTGTCAGAATTCGCGCCCCAGAAAAAAATTTCAACTAAGATACTAGAGGACCATGAAAAAAATGTTTAAAAAATCCTCTGTCAAAAAATTTTGATATTTGTCATTTTTACGTCTATTTAATGATACTGATGATCTTGTGTTTTGTATGTTTTTTTTTAATTTTTAAAACATTTTTCCCATGTTCCTGGTGTCTAACCTTACCTGTCAATTTTCTCTGGGGCGCGAGTTTTGGCGCACTCTGTATACACCAGATTTCTTTTTTTGCTTTGATTTCTTTTGATTTTCGTTGATTTCTTTTTGATTTTCTTATGATTTCACCTGATTTGTTCAAAGTTTCTTCTAATTTGACAACAAATGAAGAAAAATAAAACTACTTGCGGAAGCGCATTTTTCTATGATTTACTCTGATTTTTCCAATTTTGAGTTGATTTCCTCTGCGCAATCACAACCCAGATTTTGTACACTAGATTTCTTTTTTTTGCTTTGATTTCCTCTGATTCTCTGATTTTCTCTTGATTTCTTTATGATTTCCCCTGTTTTCTTCAAAATTTCTTTTAACTTCTCAATAAATGAACGAAAAACCCTATACATACTTATTTACCTAAGCGCATTTTTTCAGATTTCTTCTGATTTTACCAATTTTGGATTGTTTTCTTTTGCGCAACAGTGACCCAGATTTTGTACACTAAATTTCTGTTTTTTTTGCTTTGATTTCTTCTGCTTTCTCTTTGTTTTCCTCATGATTTCCACTGTTTTCCTCAAAATTTCTCTTAATTTGTCAAGAAATGAACAAAAAATCTTACTTGCGAAAGCGCATTTTTCTATTATTTTTTCTGATTTTTCTAATTTTGGATTGATTTCCTCTGCGCAACCACGACTCAGATTTTGAACACTAGATTTCTTTTTTTTGCTTTGATTTCCAATGTTTTCCTTAAAATTTCTCCTAATTTGTCAACAGTAAATGAACAAAAAACCCTACTTGTGGATGTGCATTTTTCTCTAATTTCCTCAATTTTGTACACCGATTTCTTCGATCGCCGTGTATACTGCGTATTGTTTTTCGCTTTTTTTTTATAGATATATTTTTTTTAACATTTTTTCCATGTTCCTGGTATCTTATTACCTTACATGGTATTTTTCTCTGGGGCGCGAGTTCTGATACGTACTCTGTATATATCAAATTTCTTTTTTTGGTTTGATTTCCTTTGATTATCTATGATCTTTTCTTGATTTTCTTATGATTTCACCTGATTTGCTCAAAATTTTCCCTAATTTGACAACAAATGAAGAAAAAGAAACCTACTTGCGAAAGCGCATTTTTCTATCATTTATTCTGATTTTTCCAATTTTGAAATAATTTCCTCTGCGCAACCACAACCCAAATTTTGAACACTAGATTTCTTTTTTTGGCTTTAATTTCCTCTGGTTTCCCTTTGATTTTCTCATGATTTTCCCTGTTTTCCTCAAAATTTCTCTTAATTTGTCAACAAATGAAGGAAAAACTACATTTGCGGAAGCGCATTTTTCTATGATTTCCTCTGATTTTTCCAATTTTGAATTGATTTCCTCTGCACAACCGCAACCCAGATTTAGAACACTAGATTTCTTTTTTTGGCTTTAATTTCCTCTGATTTCCCCTTGATTATCTCATGATTTCCCCTGTTTTCCACAAAATTTCTCTTAATTTGTCAACAAGTGAAGGAAAAACCCCATTTGCAGAAGCGCATTTTTCTATGGTTTCCTCTGATTTTTCCAGTTTCGGATTGATTTCTTCTGCGCAACGGCAACCCAGATTTTGTACACTAGATTTCTTTTCTTTTGCTTTGATTTCCTCTGGTTTTCACTTGATTTCCACATGATTTCCCCTGTTTTCTTCAAAATTTCTTTTAATTCGTCAACAATAAATGAATAAAACTTGTGGATGCGTATTTTTCTCTAATTTCCTCAATTTTGTACACCGATTTCATCGATCGTATACTGCTTATTGTTTTTCGCTTTATGATTTATAAATCCGGAGTTTTTTTCTGACCTCATTTAACACAGTTTCTTTGTAGTAGTCTCAAACAAAACGACATCGATATCTACGGGACAAAAGGGTGCTTAACGAGCATGTCTTCGGTCAGATGTCGCTTGAAAGTTCGCTGTCGCCGTGCAAATGTTAATTGGCGACTTGTCAGCTCGTTAATAATAGTGGCATTTCAAATTAATTGGCTTGTAACTTCGAAAAGAATTTTTTCGTGATTTGTTGCTACTGGAATTAATCATTGGATTAATTTAAGCGTTGAAACGCGGAATTCGAAAATTGTATTTGAGTAAAGAATGAGCCGACTTAACGAACTCGAAAATAAACTGCCTACTCTTTGTTTGCTACTTAAATTTATTAAATTACTTGCCCCCTCAATATTTTCGAAAAATAAGATAAACGAAATAAATCTCAAACAAATAAAGTTCAAATTACTTGATTATAATGAATGACTTGGCTTTGCACCAATCTATTCATCAATTTGTTGGCTTTAGGCCAGCGGTATTTGGCACACTTAATACAAATTTCTAACTGATTAGAGAATTGTTATCATTGGCGAGGTCATTACATACATTATTTTTTATCAAAAACATAATTTTTCTCAAGGCCTGTCACGGTTTCATTTCACTGCTCGACTTATTCGATTTTCAATGAATGATCGTGTTTTACGATAACATTTTCGTCGTTTTCTCGATTTTACGATGTATTTTACGGTATCTAAGTAACTTATTTTGTGTAAGATTTGATTATGAGTCTGATCTATGGCTTGACTCGAGGAAAATTGGGAAAAAGGACGAGGAAAATGTCTAGCAGGGTGTAAAACAGAAATAAAATAAACCATAATTTTTATTCAATCGATTGTGAGTTTTTTAAAATTGCCATAAACACCAAGAAGGTCATCGTTGACTAATTTCGCGGGACGTAGTTTTTCATCAATTGTGAAATTATCTAAATTGTTAAAAACGTCCCGATATTCCACATATTTACATTTAAGCATGTCTGGAAAATGCAAAACGTGACTTGTAATTTTTAAATATAATTTTACACACCGTTCAATTCTTTCAAAGATTTCTCCTCACCACCGTAATCTTTCGGTAAAACTTCCTTAGACACGATTTGATACAAACTTTGCAAATCATTATGTACACAAATCTGTATAATTAAAAGTGTTAAATTTACATTTGCGTAAAATTTTACTTACCCGTCCCACGACTTTGGGACTTGCTAGTGGCTTAATAATACGAAGAATGTAATCAGTCATTGAGGAACAATTAATCAAATTGAGAGATTTAACGGATCTGTTTAAAATTTTCTAAAATCACAAATATATAAAAATGTAATTTTAACATTTATTCTTCGTACTTTACGAAGCTCGGAGAATATTTTAAGCATTGTCGGCGTAATTTTACTTAATTGTCTCAAATTACATTTTTCTAAATCATAAATCATGATAGAGTTAATACAGTGGTCGTCCAATAGTCGAATTACATTTACATTGGTATTGGAAATGAAAGAATAAATGGGATTGAAAAATTCTGGTTCTTCGAGAAATTTACACACAACAACTCGACACAAGTCGTTGGTCAGTTTTGGCAACGGAATAATATAACTAAAAATGTAGGAAAAGTATAAAACGAATCAAGTAAATTAGTCTCATACTTGATGTCAGCGTATTTCATTAGAATTTCAGAATTCGGATGCATTTCTTTCGTGTTTAAAATTCGGGGGAGTTGCCCTCGAACAGTGTAAAAGTCATCGATTATTCTTTTTGTTTCTTCAACACTGAATTTAGCCGTATATAGAAAGCTTTCAATCGAGATATCAGCTTGAAAAAAATTTACAATTGTTTTAAGATTCAAACTGGTTACTTACTAGGGATTTTTTGTAAATGTGGTTGCTTCTTGAGCCACTCCTCGATCGATTCAATATCACTCTTGACCGTTTCAGGGGTTCGGTCAAAATCTTTCAACATTCCAATTTTTTGGGTTTCTGAAAGTGGTTGAAAATATTGCGACATGGTTGAATTTTTTTTATCAAATGACTGGGTTTTTAGCCAACTCCAAGGCGAAAAATTTACATTTTTAGTAATAAAATTAAATTTAGGACGTGTGACGTCAAGAATTTGCATAAATATGAATAAAAAATTACAACAAAGCTTGTCACCATCGTCATCCCTTATTCATAGTTTCCAGATTATTAATGACGTCTTGTAGACTAAAGGAGAGCAAATTCAATATTTGCATGTGTTTGAGATTAATTAATAATTCCATTTAACAATGTTTGAAGGGTTTTATCATCACTAAAGTTCGGATTTTTATACAGTAAAATTACTGAAAATATGCGTATCATTTCTTCATCTCAACCCCGGTCTTCTGTAGCTAAGTTATTATTGAAGAGGAAATTTTCAATGTAACATAAAAGTGATTATTGAGTTATATTTCTTCCATCTCTAGTGCAAATGTGCACTTTTTGGCTACTGAAATAATGATAATTTTTTTATGTTTATTGTTAAATATCTTTGTAGTTATTAATTGTAGATACTTAAAAATAAATGTTTTTGGAAAGATTATTTAATAATCTCTTAGATGCAAGGGTGTTCAATTTAATTTTTTTATATTATTTAACTTTTAACAAACTCGACATTTTTTTGATTTTTCGACTGCAATACATTAAAAAAATGTTATATTCTTACAATTTGTAGTTTCCTCTTTACAGTGGTAAAAAAATTCCAGCTATCGTAACTTTTTGTGTAATAGGTATTTAAAAAGAGGATGTTTTCGCCAAGAAAAACAACTTAATTCAAAAACTAAGCAAAATCGACCAATAAAAGTTTAGCTTCTTAAAAACATTGAAACTAAAAGCTACATTCAAAAATGCAAAGAAACATAATAGTTTCTTGAAACACCATATTATGGTGTTTCATTGAAAAAAATCATAAGTTTGTATTGTAGGTACCTTATTTTGGGACATTCTGTATAATCAATACAATAAATAAAGTCTACAAAATATCAAAACCCCCACTTAAATAATAATAATAATATATAATATTATATAATAATAATAATAAATAAAAAAAGTCCACTAGTGACCTAAAAATAGGACATTGATAGATACTAATCTAGAGCATCACCTAAAATTATTTTCAACCATACAGCAAATCTTTGAAACCTACGCTAAACTTTTATTAGTCGATTTCGCTTAGTTTTAGAAATTAGACGTTTTTTTTACGAAAACATACACTTTTTAAAAATTTATTACACAAAAACTACGACAGCTAGGACAATTTTTTTTTACTTCTGCAAAGAAGAAAGTACAGAATTTAAAGCTGCAGCAATTTATTAGTGTAAAGATTAATAAATTAAGAAGTTTGTTAAAAGTTAAATAACTTAAAAAATTTAAATGGAACACCCTATTTTTTATTTTTGGATCTAATAGATTGATAAATTGTCTATCTAAAAAAATAAACTTTTAATGTCTAAAATTGATAAATGAAAAGATATTTAACATTCAATATTAATTGTAGCAACAATGTCTATCAATATCTCGGCATTGTTGATACTATGGCAACCACAGTAATTCCACCATGGAACACGTATCCGTTGATTTATACAGTGGTTGTAAAAGTCGTTATAAATACTGAAATTCGAATTATTTTATTGTAAAAATAAGGAATAATGGATTTAGTTTAACACAAATGTGATTATTAAGTTATATTTCTTCCATCTCTTGTGCAACTATGCACTTTTTGGATACTGAAACAATAGTATTTTTTTTTTAATGTTTAACGTTAAATATCTTTTTTGTTTTTGTGTAATAAATTTTTAAAAAGTGCATGTTTTCGTCAAAAAACCGATTTTTAAAACTAAGCAAAATCAACTAATAAAAGTTTAGTTTAAAAACATTGTATTAAATCTACATCCAAAAACGCTAAGAAACATATGGCGTTTCATTAAAAAGGCACAAGTTTATATTGTAATTTATTTTTGAGACACGCTGTATAGTTGAAAATAATTTTAGACGATGGACTAGATTCAATGTCCTATTAATTTTTTTTAAATTTCACCATTTAAAGGTCACTAATGGACTTTTTTAACTTGCTGGGACACCCTGTATAAACTATCTATCTATTAGTTGCTATAGAATACCATTTAATAATGGCATGGTTTTCTAAATTTTCTATTGTAAACTTTCCTCAGAAAGGGACATTTGGCTAGTTTCTATGCGGGAGTAATATTATATGCTTACTTAAAAACATATAACTTCTCTTAATAAATTCTAATTGTTCTCTTATTTCTCTTTTATCAAATAATTTTTTTCATTTTATTTTTGATTTAGAAAATCTAAAGTAATATTTTTGACATTGTGGTAACGGTCGGCATACCACCATGTACCCCAGTAAGTGACTACAACTACAGGTTTTTGATTTAATAGTAAAGCTAAATTTCTGAATTCTGAAAAGGCAGGAGTATTGGTGCATAGTCCGATAAAGCAATAAACCTCCAGTTACTTTCTCAGAATTTATAATATGATGACAAAATTATTAAATGCCCTTTGTGAACAATTAAAATATGCAACTTTATGCGTTAAATATCGAAATTATGCAACAATTCCCAAAAACTTAAAAACATGCAGTGTTTTGATGCGTTGTGTGCAGATTATAAATAAAAAAATATTCCTACAAATAATAAATATGCAATTTGCATAAAATCCTAACTCTAATGATCACAGGTCGCAAAAAGTTTTGCGTTATTAAATTTCGTGGATATTTGCTCAGGTTTTGGGGCTTGACATGAGTGTAAATGAACTGCCGCGAGAATAGAGGAAGTCAGCTAGATACTCGACAATTATACATTTCCTATTTCCTAACATCGCTTTGTTCGTGATTCCGGGCTTCCGGCTGACTCCGGTTCCTTTAAATTGTTTTGTAAATGCTCACAAACTAAACGACTGTTTAGATAGGTACAAAATCGTTTTTCTTTAGCTTAGCTCGAAATATATTTTGGACGATATAATTGGAGCGCTTGTACAAAAGTCAAATGTGATTTTGAAAAGGGTCAAAGGGTGTGTCATGGTAAAAAATTCAAAGCGCGGGTACGAACGAAATCGAGATAATGATGCTGAATAATGCAACGGAATTATAAATAAGATAGATTATAGGGTGGAATTGGTGGCGGGGGTGATTTATTATTAAAAAAGTTTCGTTGCAACTCGCAAAACTAGAATAAGCCGTCCCAAAATCGAATTCAAAAGCTTTCATTGTCTTAATCCTCTTAATTAAATCGGAAAGTGGTCGATTCGCAGAGACCTAGACCACTAAAATCTCGTGACTCAACTTTCCCCCACGGTCTAATTTATTTGGAGTCGACAAGCGTGCTGAAAGGAAGCCGGAAAAAAATCAACAATGGTCGTGAAGCCCATGACAACTTCAGACCTAGTCTGTAAATTAATTGAAACGTTAAGAAGAGACAAGATCATTATTGTCTAAAATTCAAGCGAAAGGAGGAGGATTTAATTATCGAAAAGCTTTTGTTTATGACGAAGAGTAGGGAAGAAGGGCAAGTTATAAATCGTCTAAGGGACGAGACTCGATTATTTTTTCGCGTTCGATTCGAACTAAATCACCTTATTCTTGGGATTTAATTTCGATTCTAATTTCCAGCCAGTCCATTTCCGTTTTATAATGGAGTCGTTGCACCATCGATTATCATGAGATTCGCTTTTTATATTCGGAGCGAAAAGTTTGCAACACCTTTAAAAGCGTGCATATTCATAACGACGATAATAATAAAAATTTCGAGAGCGAATTATAAATGCTAATATCGTCTAACTTCTACTTTAACTCTAATTTGCATCGTAATGTAATAAGGGGTAGAACAGGTGTTCTGAAAAAGAATTAAGAAAAATCGTTGGTTTGAAATTTTTTTTCGTTATTTAAAAGTTAGGTAACGAGCTCGAAGGTAGATTAAGAGTGCTATTTCCGCGAAAAATTCAACAAAGAAAAACAACATCGTGTTTATGAGACTTTGGAACAATAAGAGGTAATGATGTGTAATGGAAACGTACCGAGAAAGCAATTAACGGAATTTAAAACGATAATAAAGTTGGAAAACTAATGGACTTTATTCGGGCGATGGCATTATTTAGGAAAATCGATACGATGAAAACGATTAGCGAATAAATTATAAGCAAACAAGAGCGAACAGCGAATAAAGTTGTAATAATTTTTGGCAAACAGAATTTCTCTTTAAAATTTTAGAACAATTAAGTATACATCATTTTATCTGCGGTATTATGATGTAAAAGAATACCGAAGAGAAAATGAGCAAATTTCAACGGTGTAAGTTGTGCTGTATTGTTTTTATTTTTATATCGGCCGATATTTCATCGAGCTTTGCTGGTTTCCGGGCGAAATCCGAAGGTGAACTTGGAATTGTTTTTCAGCAAACAAAAGTTGAAACGCAGAATGAACCTAAATTAACAGAAATTCTAAAAAAAGAAAAATGCACTGAAACACAAAAAAGCAAACTCTAAAAACAAGCTGCAAAATCACTGTATATAGGATGTTTAAAAAAAAACGTTAAAAATCGTAGTAGGTAATCCCTTAGGTTAAAATAAGAAAAAAAGTTCTTATAGGGGACAGAAGCACTATGGTCAACATAATTAAGAAGTTAAATTTTGCATTGAAAAACTTTTTTGTAATATATTGTTTACAGATTTAGATTTTAATTTTCTTTAAAAAGTGTCTGTTGTGTTACTCTTGCTTTCTTAGAAAGAATTTTCGGACTTATACTCTTTTTCATATTGATGTGTATCAAATAAGTTGTAGAAGTCTAAAGGCATCTTTACCTTAAATGACGATTCACACAAAAAGTGTCATTAATGTCATTCAAAACAAATTTAATCACATCAATAATAACAAAAATCTTTTTGTTTTCTAACTTATGTTAATTATATTGTTAATTTTAATTATTTTTTGATACCAGGGCTATAAACTTATTGAAAAAAAATATTTTTAGATATTTGAATTTTTGCATGGTTACACAAAGCAATTTATATTCATATTCGAATTTTGAAAGTTTCATGAATCGAAAAATATCGTTCTTTGATTTTCGATATTTTGAAAATTTAATTTTGAATCAAGGAATATGTGCATAATGTATAATGTGTTGTCTGCCAAGAGGGGTCAGGTGGGTCATTTAAGCTGAATCATCCTGTATTAAACTTAAAAACCTTAAAAATTTAAATGAACGTTAAAATGAAAAATTAAAAATTAGAATAAATTGGATTTGAATCTGAACTAAAATAAATAAATGTTGATTGAAAAAACAAAAAAAAAAACTAGAATGAATTGGAATACTGAGAACAGAAAAATCTAACGAACAAAATTCGACCACCTAAAATTATGCACAAACTCGTAAAATTGTAAAACGAATTACACTTAAGATCGAAAGACTACTAGAAAATCTAAATAAATAATTGTGAAATTGAACAAGTAAAAGAACGCAAAAATAGGATATTATGTTATTAGCAGTAAAAGTGATACTGAGCCACATAAACTCACTTTTACTCCAAATAACATACTGTTTTATCCAGAAACAATTCAAATGAAGAGAAAAGAGCAACACTATAATTATCAAGTATATGAACAAAATAATAAGGACGCTTTTGCAATGAAATCATAACAAACGTCACGGAATTTGTGTTGATATTTTCAAAAGTGTTGATTGATTTAACTATAGTGAATAACAAGATTAACAAGTGTAGTTTATTGTGTAAAGTGTCGAATGCTGCTGAGGTAGCAAAAGAGACAACATTAGTAAATTTCGGTAGAAGTGAAAAACGCTTAGGAAAAAAAAACAGTGTTTTTACCCCATGTCTGAAAGGTAACACTTTTACTTGTGCCATTTAGTCATAAAAGCGTCCATTTTTTTGACGTTTGCGGATAAATACTTGTTTACATTGTACGTGAGGTTATCTAAATAAAAATATGTACCTACATTACATTAATATTATAGAAGGTAGTTGTTTTTCTTGGTGTTTTTTCGTGTTAATACATCCAAAAAATAAGTTGACTGAAACGAATAGCGAATATTACACAGAAAGAAGCAATTTTTGAACGTGTTTTTCTTAAATATTGTGTAATCTACAAATTCAAATTTCTTAACAGTAGGTAATTGGAAAATATTTACATCAGTGTGTGATAAGAGCGATTAGGAAATAAATTACCACAGAATACAAAAGAAATCTTTTATCAGTATAAATAAATTGCCAATTATTTATTATACAGGGTGATTCAAAAGTATCGGACTATTTTTTGGGTGATGATAAATAACATCTAACTGAGTTAAAAATTTCCATGACAAAAAATTGTTTGAAACTTTTTCACCAGATATAGCTCTTCAAAGATTAGATTTTGAGTTAAATTCTGGGCCTTTCAGATAATCTATTCTTGAATTAAATTAGACAACATCGAAAACAAAAGAGCTAAGTTGCCTACATGATAATATAAAAATTGACAGTTTTGTTTTTTCTTAAGAAAATCTGAATTTTTGTGCTTAGCTGAAAGTTGGTCCCACACTTTTGAATTATTTTGTATACTATTATATTATTTTGTTTAAGATATTAATTTAACAATTGATATTATTTTGTTTAAGGAGTATAATATACAGGGTGTAAAGTAAATATATTAGTAATAATATTCATTCTTGGCTTTCTTAATAACTGTATTAAATTTACATCCGGTGTTGCCGGAAATGCTACCAAATTTAGTTTTTCAAATGGAACACCTATGTTTTTTTTTTCTCCAAACAATAATAATTGACATGAAAATTACTGTTAACCACTATTTATTACATTTTGCGTAACACAATGCAATCGAAAAACATCTTAAATCTTAGAATTTCATAAGGAAATTGGTCGCGTAGCCTGATTTTTAATTTTAAAGGAAAGGTGTGAATAAAAAAAATGTTTTTCCAGTTTAATTGTCGGTTTAACAAATCTAATTTGTCAGTTGATGAACGAGTTCTCTTATGGAAACTCTTGGATTTTCTTCGACTGAGAACAGAATATTCAGATTTCTATTTTCTTGTTCTTCACAAAGAACCACAGGTTTTTTTATTTTTAAGAAGCGAACCTATTCGTCTCAGTTGTTTTTCAATTCGACTAAATTTCCAACTATTTTTCTCTATACTGTCTTTCAGCTTCCGCTCTATTTTTATTGCACTTAAAAAACACTTCAAGCTGATCTACCAATTCGCCGTAATTATATTGCATAAATACCTTGACAAGTAAAATCCGACAACGTTGCAAAATTTGCAATAAAATTCAAAAATTTAAATTGTTTTCTGAGTGCATTATGTAAAGTAAAATGTAATAAATAGTGGTTTACCGTATCTTTCATGTCAATTATTTTTGTTTCGAGGAATAAAAACATAGGTGTTTCATTTGAGAACTAAATTTGGTAGCATTTCCGGCTACAACGGATGTGCCAAAGAAATTTGATGCATTTACTAAGAAAACGACGAATGAATAGTATTATTTGAAAAATTAGTTTTTGAAAAAAAAATTTTAGGTGTTATCGGAGTCACATAAACTCACTTTTAATCCAATGAAATCATAACAAACATCACGCGTCAGTTTCGAAATTTGTGTTGAGATTTTCGAAAGTGTTGATTGATTATTTAACTAGTAAATAACTAGTCTAGTTTGTAGTGCAAAATGCAGAATGCTGATAATCTAAGCAGCGAAAGAGTCAACATTAGTAAATGTCAGAAAAAAGTGAAAAAACGCTTAGGCAAAAAAAAACGGTGTTTTTACCCCAAGTCTGAAAGGTAAAACTTTTACTTGTGTCATTTAGTCATTAAAAGCTTTCTTTTTCTGACGTTTTCGGATAAAATTAATTGTTTCGGTTTCATATTTTTAATGTGTTATGTTATAAAATTTAGTTAAAATATTAATTATTTATATTATAGAAGGTAGTTGTTTCTCTTGGTGTTTTTCGTGTTAATTAAATACATCCAAAAAATTAGATGACTGAAATGAATAGCGAATATTACACAGAAAGGAACAATTTTTGAACGTGTTTTTCTTAAATATTGTGTAATTTACAAATTCAAATTTTTTAACATAGGTAATGTAATGTTAATGTAAATATTTAATCAGTAAATCAAATGAGTTAAAAATTTCTATGACAGAAAATTGTTTGAAACTTTTTCACGAGATATGACTCTTCAAAGGATAGATTTTGTGTTAAATTTTGGGCCGTTCAGATCGTGTATTCTTGAATTAAATTCGACAACATCGAAAACAAAAGAGCTAAGTTGCCTACATGATAATATAAAAATTGACAGTTTTGTTCTTTCTTAAGAAAATCTGAATTTTTGTGCTCACCATTCAAGAGTTGGTCCCACACTTTTGAATCACTTTGTATACTATTATATTATTTTTATTAAGATATTAACTTAACAATTGACATTATTTTATTTAAGGAGTATTGAGCTTCACTCAATTAATAATATATTAGGCGCCGATTGGCGAAAAGCCGAGTTTTTTCTTGTTTTTCAATTTTTCTAATCTTATACAAGTTTTTAATTAACTATCGAATATAATGCCACATTCCTCTGGGACTAGTTGTTTTCGTTTCATTAAAATTCCTTTTCGTCCGCAAACAAGATCGGTCGGTTAATTTCGTTGAAAAGAAAAAAAAATGTATGCATCGTTGTTTGCGTCTCAGGCAATATCCTCTTTTCCCAAAGCTCCTCTTCGTCATATCATCTCGAAGGCCCTCTCCTTCGCAGATATCCTTAATGGAGGCGAACGCTGATAAGGTTGGGCAAAGAGAGGGATAAGGGTCGGAAAGCTCTCACCGCGGCCACTCGGGACAATGCGGCCGTCGGACAACTCTGTAAAGTTGGTAGGCCCTCTTTGTAGTGGCCGGCCTGATTAGTAACTCTATTGTGTTTGTTGCGAATACTTTGTCTCAGCAAACCGCACCACCGACTCGATTATTTCCATCGGAAAAATTGGAAATTGTTAATGAAGCGGCCGATGTCTTAACCAAACATTTAAATATTTTCCCGGGATCTTTCCAAATATTTTCCTCCGGCAAACATCGAAAGGCAAATTTGTTTAGTTTGACGAGTCGCCTCTGCCGGAATGAAATATCTATGTTTAGGTGTTTTTCCAACTTATGCTTTTTATGCGATACCTTACATCGGAAAAGGAAAATCGGGGTTTTCTTCTACGTGAACATTTTCTCGGGCACACTTCGGGCAAATACTTAGGAAATTGGCACGTTTTCCTTTTGTTTGGTTTGTATCAGGTGGAAAGGGTGAGGGGAAACACGAGTGCCAACTGAAAACGAACAAGAGCTTTCCGTGTTTAAACGATTCAATTTGTAATTTTGTAAACAATGATGAGAGAAGCTTTTCTGCTTTATTTCGGACCACAATGATTTTCGTGACATTCAAATAGATTTCGTTCTATCCGTTCAAAATTTAACGCAACACACGTAAGTTAGTTTCGTACATGAGTGCTTTGAAAATTTAAAGAGGAGAAGAAGAGCGCCTCCTATACAGCAAACATCACGAAGTTACCGCGACGCATTACTTTGCATACAAATAGTTGCGGTGGAAAAAAATCGAGAAAAGACGAGATGAAAAAACCACAGAGTGGATTAAGATGTGAATAATCTCAGCTGCTGCTTTTGTAATAATTACAAGCTCACCGTGTAATTAATAATTCCGGATAATAAATCGCAACAATCAATCAAATCTAAAGTATATTTTGCCTCAAATTAAGTTCACTTCAAGCAGCGGCGGCTCGTCAGGGGAGGCAGTGCCTCCCCAGTGAAAATAGAAGTTAAAAATAGAATAATTTACTAGAAATTTAAATTATTTGGACTATTTTTGAATCGTAAACTACAATTTTTATATAATTTTAACCTTAATAATTTTTATGTGTTCAAATGTTGATTTTTTTGGTAAAAATAATAGTGAACCAGTTTTAAGTGTCTATGAAGAACTACATATTAGAAATTGTATTAGAAATTATTATTTATATTTATAATCTTATTGTATTAAATTGTATTAGAAATTAATAACAAATAAATTTTCTTGACTTTCGTACGACGATAAGTTATATGCAAAAGAATTGGGAGCACCTCATCAAGACTTAAATAATATTTATTTGTATTACAAGGAAGGAAAGTGTATTTTTGCTTTCCATAGGTGGAAGTTACTGCCCGAGACTTGTCAAATGAATCAAATACGATTTGTCGAGGGCAGTAACCACCCAGGGAGGAAAAGATACTTTCCTACAATGTAATACATACAGGGCTTTTATTTTAAAAGGATCCAGTGTCAATAACTTTTGACATTGAGTAAATGTATTTTCAAGCAAAAACAGGTCGATTAGGATTCCGAGGGGAAAGTTGAAAACCAACATTAGTTACATTTTAAGTTTCATTCTCTGGTCGCTAGCCACCCCTACTTTAAAATTTTAAATGGCACCCCCTACTTTTTAGAACGTTTTCGGAAAGAGAAAAAATTAGCGCCTCTAAATGCCAAAGAATTTTTTTTTGTTGATATGTTTTTTAGTTTTATTTTTGAAATTTTCAGTCCTAGTAGCTTTTGATTGAACTCAATTTAATTTAAATAAAAAATATGTCGATATGAATTGCGATCGGAGAATTCAAAACCAACATTAAATACGTTTTAGGGTTCATGCCCACTCACTAACCACCCTTACTTTAAAATTTTAAAGAGCCTCTCCAAATTTTTGAAACATTTTTGCGAGGGGTGGAAAAAAGCTTATTTAATTGTAAATGAAAAAAAAATATTTTGTAGATTCGTTTTTGAGTTAGCGGTAGTTTTATTTTAGAAATTTCCATCAGTCCTAGTAGCCTTTAACTTTGGTTTGTCATCTAGTACATTTTATTAAGAATGCGGTGGTGTCAACAATTCAGCGAAAATTTACCATTTGACAGTTCAGTTAATTAAAAAATTACTTTTATTTAAATTAAATTGAGTTGAATCAAAGGCTACTAGGACTAAAAATTTGAAAAATTAAACCACCCTTAACTAAAAGACGAATCGACAAAAAAATTTTTTTCTTTGAGAGTTAGATACGCTCATTTACCTATTCCCTTTCTGAAAATGTTTCAAAAAGTAGGGAGTTCCATTTAAAATTCTAAAGTAGGGGTGGCTAGCGACTAGGGGATGAAACCTAAAACGTATTTAATGTTGGTTTTAAACTCTCCCATCGCAACCCAAATCGACATATTTTTTATTTAAATTAAATTGAGTTCAATCAAAGGCTACTAGGACTAAAAATTTCAAAAATTAAACCACCTCTAACTGAAAAACAAATCGACAAAAAAATTTCTTTGACATTTAGAGACGCTGATTTTTTCTCTTTCCGAAAACGTGCTAAAAAGTAGGGGGTGCCATTTAAAATTTTAAAGTAGGGGTGGCTAGCGACTAGGAAATGAAACTTAAAATGTAACTAATGTTGGTTTTTAACTTCCCCCTCGGGATCCTAATCGACCTGTTTTTGCTTGAAAATACATTTACTCAACGTCAAAAGTTATTGAAACTGGATCCTTTTCAAATGAAAGCCCTGTATAATTTTTCCTACGATCTTCAATACTAACAATTTCTCTTAATATCCCAGTTTTGCTATTAAATCTAGAAGCATGCTTTTTAGTTTCTATGGGGGAGGTAAAATTTCTACCTCCCTGAGAGGTTTTATATATTTTTATACAGAGTGGTTATAAATGATTTTCATCTAGCCAGCTGTGAATTTTCCATGTAAAATAAAAAATGCCGCTTTACGAAAATTAAAAAATCGCCGTTTACTAAGCGTCCACTTCGAAAATAGACTTCAATTATAAACTTGTATACATTATTATCAATTATTATTGGAAATTAGTTGAAACAATAAAAATTTAATTAACAATAATTTATTATTAATTAATAAGTGACACTAATGACAGAACTAGAGCTTTCAAAAAAGTAGAGCGGCACAAATAAAGTTACATGCAAAAAATTCCAAAGCTGGTTAGATGAAAATCATTTATAACCACTCTGTATATTGTAATTTTTGGCAGATGAGGGGGGTAATTGGTCACTTTTCTTTCTGAAATTAGGGTGGAAAAACTTACTTTTTCTTAGGGTCATAGGAAAATTAATTATTCATATACTTTTTTTGTAAATTCCTGGTATATTAACTATGAGTGGTTAACTGGAAGCAAAACACAAAAAAAAATTTTTGTCCATTTTCAAGTCGTAGTAAGGAAGCATGATCTAAAACTGTGGTACTTATGACAACTTAAAAAAATACCAAGGGCAATAGAAAGACAAACTTAAAGCCAAGAACATATGTATGAGTAGCAAATTACATAAATAAGATATAGCCACAAATGTAAATTCGGCCCCGCAAATTGTAATTAATAATAAATTTAATGAATCGGTAAAAAAAATTGAAAAATTGAAAATTTAAAAAAGTTTAGTCAATTTTTGTATTTTTCTTTGCTGTTAAAAGTTGGCTTTTCGTGCTCAGCAAAGCAAAGAACTTTTTAGTCATTAAGTATATGGCATGTGTAGATTCACGTATATTTCTATTTTTTTATATAAAAAAGATCTGCCTCCTCTTAATAAAAGACTACGAGCCGCCACTGACTTCAAGTATGGCAGAATTAAATGTAATAATAAAGTTTTGATTCGGTTTAAACTTCAAACCGTCCATAGTGACTTCTCAACTTTATTTATTACAACGTAAATTATATTCGCGTCGATCTCTTAACGAAAAATAAATTGGTTCGGTTGAAGTTTAGTCTATTTTGGATATAAAGAAGATCAAAGCGAATTCCGGCACGTGGAATTTACAACGGTGGGCATTCAGTTTCCTTTAATTCAAAGTAAACAAGGTTGGGGGAAATATGACGCTTTGTGTGTGTGAGGATTTGATTTTTTCAAACATCGAATCAATTGAACAATTTTCGACAACGAAATATAATTTACAACGGCCAAATCGGGAGATAATTAAATTTACAACACTAGAAAAAATTCAGCCTGAAACTGAAAGGTTGCAACAATAGAAATATAACTTGTCAAGCTGTCTCTGAAAGTGAAACGACTTAAACTTCTCTCTGTATTACGTAAAACTTTAGGATGATGAACTTTATTAATATTAAAAAAAAAAACCTCAAATTATAAAAATAACACAACACACGAAAATTTTATAATTTTTTTAATTTCGTAATGTAAAAAGTCTTCAGGGCGAGATTTGCCTCGGAATAATTCCAGAGTCCGGAGCTTTTCCTGTTTTATTTTCGTGTTGACGAGATTCGGGATTTTTTTAAGGCCGTTAATTGACTGTTGGCATCCTTCCTAGCGCTCCGTTAATTGCTAAAGAAACAAAAACAAAGACTGCGATGGTATTTTGAACATTCTTCTTATCGTGACGCGTGACTGTTATTTATTTATTAGCGAGGTTTAAGAACAAAAGCAAACAAATCAAATTAGAGATAAGTAAATTTTAATAATTTTAAGAGATGTGGTTTTTGGATAAGTGAAGCTTTTTGTTGGAGAGGTTTTTTGCTCAATGAAATTAACATTTTTTCGTATTTTTAATTTTGCTTTATGACAAGAAAAGATGGCGAAGAATTGGGCGTTGGGGAATTGGGTTTTTATTAAGCGTCTAGACGGTTTTTGCAATATTAATTTAAAAACAAAAAATCTGTTTAATTTCAATTGACAGAAAAATGATTTTTAATAATTTATTTAAAAAAAATATTTAAATGCTAGTTTTAAATTTTTTATGTTAAAATACATTAACTGAGATTCCAGGAACCAAATATAAATTCATATTTATTTGACCTCATAATAAATATTAAAAAGGTCAGTCCAATCGGTCCATTTATTTAGAAATTTTTGCTTTCATCTGTTGACAAATATATCCGCGTCAAAACTCTATTTCCTAAAATGATTTACTGTCAGCGACAATTTCACCCTCAACTCTATAAAATTCGAATGGATGCGCACGGATTTTAATATATACGTATTTTTTGTTTTTTTCGTTTTATAATTAAAGCGTTTTATCGCGTTTAATTTTTAATGGAAGTTTTTCGTCATTGTAACAGAAATTCTAGCAGTTCTTTATAAATCGCCACGTTATTCTTTATAACGGTTTTCCCTCAGGAGCCGGAGGCAATCCCGCTCGTTAAATTTCTTCCGAGCCGAATTGTTAACATCACGACTTTATAAGAGTGAAAAATTTTTCTTAAAGCGACAATTTTGGATTTTAGACAAAGAATTTTCAAAGCGTCATATAATAAAATTTGTTAATTAAATATTAAAATCATCAAGGTTAAAGTCCATACGATAAAATTGTTAATGTTAAGTGCATGTACAAGATAATTGCAGGAAATACGTCAGCAAAATAAATAATTATTTTGTTTCAAATTTTTAACTAATTTAATTTAGGTTCACAAAAGGAAAAGTTTTGTACAGTTTTTCGTTCATATTTTCCGATCAAAAAACATCATAAATCTTTTTTCTAAAAGACATTAATCATAGTTGGGATCAAAGCAAACTTGTTATAACCTGCAGACACGATTAAGATTAATTCTGAAACGGTTGTAAAGCTTTCCATCATTTTTTTTAATATTAGGTATTTTTTAAAAAGACATGAATTGCGTCAAAGCATGATTTTATTACAAGTGTTTTTTCATGTTTGAATTAATAAAACACGACCTACAATATGCAAATAAAATTAGGTATATTCAGTAATACAATTAGCAATGAAAAGTTGCTTACCAACTGATAATTTTTTAAAAATTGTTTTTGTGACCAACTCTGCCAACAAATTTTCTCTAGTAAATGTATTTAGATATATAAATACATGAGCAACTTTTACTGTTATAATAACAATGCCAGAGTTATTTGAAAAAATCACAGAAGAACAAAAACTGGCCATTTTGACCCATTTTGGAAAAACAGCTGAAAGATCAAAATGTGACGTCATTACAATTAAGGAGTGGTGTTTAAAACAACCACATTTGCCTGATGTTCCATGTGAGTTTTTGTTAAAAATAATTGACAATAATAATTTTTTGAAGGTGATTCAATGCTTGAATCGTTTTTGAGACTAAGTAAATACAATTTTGACAAAGCAAAGTCACGAATTGACAATTTCTATACTCTCAGAATGAAAATGCGGGAATTTTTTCAAGTTGACATTAATCCGAATTCCTCACAGTTGAGAAATAATACTGACTACAGGTTAGAATTGTGTGAAAAATATAGTTTTGACAATTTTTGAGTTTCAGTTACGTGATTAAATTGCCTCAACTGACCGACGATTTATACAGGGTGACTCTCCATAAATTAGTGACGAAAGATTTGACTTGTTTTCATCCACTTTTGACATTTATTTGGCATTTTAATCTTGCGATTGTTGGAATGATCGAAGATTGTCATTGTGGCCATGTGCTAATTTATGATTTACAAAATTATGGTTTGAGTCACGTGACAAAAATAACGCCAACTATGGTGAAACGAGCGTCGGAAATTTACAAAGTGAGTGTCATAATTCGCCACTTGTTGAATAATTTTCTTTTAGAAAACTTTGACAGCTTCGGTAAAATCCATACATTTTATTAATTGTCCGTCTGTGATTGACCATCTTTTGAAAATTGCAAGAATTGCGCTAAATCCAAAAATTGTCAAACGGATTTTCGTACACCAATCTTTGAGCTCCCTGTATAAGCACGTGCCGAGGAAAATACTTCCGTGTGATTATGGTGGCGAGGAAAAATCCTCTAAAGAACTAAACGGTGCTAAAAATTGGAAAAATTTGACTGTTTTTTATGTCCATTTATGTTTTAGAAATTGTCAAGGAGAAAATATGGAATTATAAGAGTTATTTTGATCACTTGGACAGTTTACGAGTTGATGAAAACTTACGTCCGGAAAATTTCCACGACGATGATTTTCTCGGGTTTTATGGTAACTTTAAGAAGCTTGATATTGATTAGAGTATTGGTAAATAAATGTAAAAAAATGGAAAGTTTAGTTTTACTCCTTATCGATTTCTTATAGCTTCCATCGTATAATATTACAGCTTAAATTTAAGTAAAGCTTCTCTAACAAAAGCCTTCATGGCGTACAAAGACACATTATTCGACATACTGCCTAGTAAAGTATTGAATATCCCCGGCGAACGTTGACGTTATTTTATATTAAGGATAAATTTAGATGAATGCTCTTACACATATTGCTAAAATAGGTAACTGACAGACACGGGAACTTATTTTACAGACTATTACATACAAGGTGAATAAAAACTTTAGGACCAAGCGTTTTTGCATAAACTAATTACTTTACGAGAAAAATAATTAGTACAGTGTAAGATACTATAAAATGTGATCAAATAAAATTCTTCGAAATTCCTTTTAGTTTTCGAGTTATGCAAAAACATTTTTTTTAATGGCACCCTATTGATACATTTTTTTTAAATAAAAGCTATAAAAATAACTTCTAGTTAAATAAAATTATTTTTCCAATAAGAACTCACTTTCTTCCATTTTTAGTTTATCCGAAACAATTCAAAGTACACTCAGAAAAGTAGAAAATGTGTCCATAAACCGACTCTCATTATTTGGGTTCTCTCCTACCCAACTGTAGTTATAAAAAACCATCTGCCATAGGAAAGTAATAAATATGCTTTTGCACTTAGCCTCAACACATCTAAATCTTGTCATGGGATATTATTTCATTAATAATTAGTATCATTAAATGTGTGTAAAGTGTGTTATACGGTATGTTATAGTAAAACGAGCAAATTTGTAATTTTAAAACGTCATTATTCTGTCTCAATGGAAAATTAAATTTTCTGTTGATTTTGGAATTTTTCTCTGCTTTTTAAGTCCCATCACAATGGCGGTTTTATTTTTTGGACAGAAATGTAACAATTAATTAATTAATTATTGAAATCGATATTATGGGCTAAACAATAAAATTCTGCAAAGATTTGTTGCTCTTATTATAGTTGAAAAAAAAAGTATTTTTATTTAATTAGAAGTCATTTTTAGATAATACTTTTTAATTAAAAAGGTTGCCATTAATTTTTTTTTTACAAAAGTCGAATCTAAAAGAATTTTTGAAAAATGGTATTTCTGATAAACGGTCATATTTTAATTGTACTTTACGCTACACTAATCACTTTTTAACACAGTTGAGCATTTGTTTTGTAAAGTGGTAATAATAATAATAATAAATTGTCTTTATTCAATGAAAAAAAAAGTAAACATAGGAAAGCAAAATCTAGCCATAAAAGTTATTTTTCTTAACCTTCGAAAAATGTGAAAAAAAACAAAAAGCCAAAATAAAATAATACCCCCTATAGTTAGACGAAGAAAAAAATATAAAAAAATAATTTTAATTTTTTACATATTAAAGTACACTTGACATGATCACGTTAACATACATTTTCAGTATTGAGTAATTTTGTTATTTTTTAGTTATGTATGTTGGGTACTGTATAAAATTACATAAAACTTTTTATCCACAAACGTCACAAAAGTGACCACTTTTATTACAAAATGTTGCAAGTAAAAATTCTTCTTTTCAACCACGAAGGAAGTAAAAATTCTATATTTGCACCTGTCTTTTCACTTTTACCATGACATTATTGACATTTACCAATATTGTTTAATAGAACGATTTAGTCTCTTTCTGGAGAGGTACATTGTAGATGATTAGAATTTGCCATTTTATACTACTAACTGCAGTCATGCACTAGTTAAATTAATAAATACAAAGCGTCCTGATTATTTTGTTCATTTACTTGCTAATTATAGGTTACTCTTTACTTTTGAATACGTTTGTGGATAACATAGTATATGTTACTTGGAGTAACTTATAAACTTCAGCTTCACCTCTTAAACTATCACTTTTACTCCTAGTAATATTATATACTATTTAATCAACTTTTTAAATTTTGTTAATTTTATTACTAAACTTAAAAATTAAATATTTGAATGGAAAGTACAAAATAACATTTTTTTAGTAGTAAAGATTTAGTTAGTACTTTCTCACTTTTTTGGAATTTTACTCTATTTTTGCAATTAGTTTACTAGTTTTTGTATTGTTAAATTGCATTTGCAAGTTATAAAATGTATGATTCTGTTTTAGTGTAAAATTAAATTTTGGCTGATTTCAGTGCTCTGACTCGTTCTATTTTCGCAAACAAATAATTTTTATTGTAAATCGTTCGATAAACCCACAATTAAATTACTCTATTTTTGCATGCCACCTTATTCCTCGCATAAAACGTGACCGCAGAAAATCGCCTCCAAAGCTCAACATCACGTCTTTTTTGCACTGTTTATAAAATTCGTTGATTTTCGTCCGCAAACACTAAGACGAAAATGAACATCAATAACACTTACTGTACCAGCGATCCAGAAACGCGTAAAAAAATCCTCGACCATTTCAAGATAAATCCCGCGAGTTTAAAACGTGATGTTGATATTATCAAAGAATGGATCAAGCAAAACCCGCATTTCCCTCAAGGGACACAAGATGACGATTTTATTGAAAAATTGCTACTGAAGAATAAGTTTAGTGTGACTGCGACCAAGGACCGGATTGAGAAATATTACACTTTGAAGGCGATTCAGGCGGAGGATATGGCCAAAATTAGGTCGGCTTTGCCCAAAGAAACGGCACCGTAAGTTGATTTTCACCACATGAGTTGAAAAAATTGTTGGTTGTTTTAAAGAATGATTATTCCACTACCGAAACTTACGGACAAATTGGAACGAATCATTATTATGAAAGCGAACAAAAATATGAATTTTATGGACTCCGAAGCGGTCCAAAGGTCATTCAAACTGTCCATAGTAGTGAGCGAATATGGCCTTAGATGCGACTTTAGTGTGTCCCACAGGATTATCCAGGATTTTGAAGGATTTGATCCTGAACAATTCAGACAATATGCCATTTCGTTGGCAACTTTCCCAAAACCATACGCTGTCAGTATTTTTGTTTTTGATTTTTTTGTGATTAAATATTTTAGGGAGCTTATTTTGCTAGAGTGGCTGGAGTCGAATACATAAATGTGCCACCATTGGTCGAGAATTTTTTTAAAGGGATGCGAAATTTCGTCACTGATAAAATATTCAGAAGGGTAAATTTAATCAAGTGTAGTTTTTTATATTTTTTAATAGTTTACAGTTCATAAAGATTATGAATCGCTCCATAAAAGCATTAATAAGGCCTATTTGCCCCCGGAATACGGAGGTGAATTGCAAACACCTCTTAATGAGTTGATTGATAGGTGGAATAAGGAGATTGAGAGTAATTTGGAAGTTCTTGAAAAACTGGTTGTTGAGGAAGTGGCAAGAGAACATTTAAGGGTTGGGAAGGCAAGGTTTGATGACATTTTTGGGGTTGACGGTACTTTCAAACAACTGGAAATTGATTAAATTTTATTTAGTTAAAAATATCCAATAAATAAAAATAAGTTAATCCAAATTGAGAGTTTTGAATGATCCTTGAACTCCGAAAATATCCCCGTTTGTTTTATTTTGTTCAGCCAAGCGTTCGATTTTTTGGAAAAAATCTTTTTTGGTCAAAAATGTTTCTTCACACATTTCTGGGAAAATAATCGTTAAACTAGAAATAACTATGTATTGGTTTTATACCAATCAGTGTTTCGATATTCGGTTGTTCGCCCCCATAATCAGTCGGTAAATACTTCTTCGAGATATTTTTACCCAATGATTCCAAATTGTTATGCACAGATAACTACAAGAAATATTTTAATTGATAAAATAAACTAGAATAATTACAAACCCTTGAAAATAACTTCGGTTTAAGACAGATTTTAGCAAGATTCAGAATCACACTAATCACGTGTGGGGCATTCAATATTTCGATTCCTGAAATTCGCATTTTTAGGACATTCTGAAATTGGAACATTAAAATTTTTAGTTTTCACCCACTTTGACTTACTTCGTGAATCGATATTGCCTTAAATAAGTCATTTATGTTGACTTGCAAAATATGACTCATAGTAAAACTTTCAAAATCTAAAATGAGGCGAACACTCGCCGAGTAGTCGTAATTGAAAGCAATCATTGCTGTAGCTAAACCGATTTTTAGACATTTATGAACATCTAAAACCTTCCCTACTTTATCTGGATGCAGTTTCAAGATTGCAATACGTTCCCATGAAGTTGTAGGTATGGGTAAAAGAACAGCAACGCTTGAAAAATAATTAAATTAGTTATTGAATAACAAGAAACTTACATTTTTGTACCCAACTTCATCTACCGGTCTCAAATTTGCAAACCCGGAAAACATTTCCGGATATCGACTTAAATAAGTGAAATAATTCTCGATGTTTTTCTTCACACGCTCTTCCTTAAATTTTCCTCTCAGCAACATAATTTCCAGAAAGTTTTCATCTGCAATTAAATTAATTCTAATTTGACCTCAATTCACATAAGATACTTGCCTTTACTTTCAAGTGGCAAATGAGGACACTGTTCTATCCACAATTTTAACGATTTCACTTTTTTTTGGGCCGTTTCATCACAAATTCCAAATTGGGATCTCACAGCATTCTTGTCTTTTTCCGAAATAAAATAATTTTCCATTTCAGTGTTTTTTTTTGTTTATTTTTAACAATTTAATTACACGGATTGAAATTCTTTGAGTTTTAAGATGATGACATACATAGTTGATTTAAATTTAGGTTGAATTATCAGCTGAACTGTTTGATATAAAGTTTGTTTAAATATTGCACACGTCGCTCAAAACACAACTGGTATCTTAGATTTCTTCTACGGCTATATTAATGTTTACAGGCGATTAATCTTGAGTAAGAGTTGTTTAGGCTTGAACTTTACCTAGTTTGAGGCGTCGAAGGTAAAAAACGGAATAAACTAGCAAAAAGTAAACTTAACAATTTAATTTGACTACAAACAGGAACATTTTCAGAAGGAAAAGTATATCCTGTTTGTAACTATGGATAATTAGTGTTTATTATTTTTAAAAATTGTTTTAATTGGGCAGATACAAAAATAATGTGATATAATTTGACTTGTGATGTAATAGTTCCTTGATGTTAAAAAGAGATAAACTGTAGGTAAAGTGTGTTTCCAATTGCTGCTAGCTATAAAGGTCAAATGCAACAAAAGCCGCTCTGATGCAGAAGATTTAGTTGGTTAGTAACAATTCATTTGTCAAAATGAATGTCTGTTCTAGTCAAATCTGGGTACACAGCAATTCGAAACAAATGCAGTCCACGTTTGAGATTAATTTTCAAATAAAAAATTGAAATTATTATATTGTTTAATGTTTAAGACAACTATTATTTTGGTAACAAATTTGAAAAAAAAAATGATGAAGTGTGGGAAGAAACATGAGGTATAAGTAAAGGCAAATTATTTGTAAGTAAAGTGCGTTTTTTTTAATTTATGCGTGTGGATCAATTAATAATTCGAGAGACGTACCAGATGGCTATCTCTTTTTAACATTTGTAAACAGCCTTGTTGCTCTCTCGCTACGTATTTGCGTAAGGTCGGTCACGCTATTTATCTCACTTTAACAAATGCGATGAAAGTTACGCATAGCTAGTGACGTAGGTCATTTTTTTAAATGATGTTTTGATGCTAATGTTTATAACCTTTATATCATCGTAATTTAAGCCCTATAAAAATCCTAATGCCAGGGAGAAGCTTTAATTTTTGATTTTAGTACTAAAATGTCAGAAGTTGTCAAATGTCAAAAACAGACGGAGGTCATCTCGTGTTCTTGATTCATACTACCCCCACCAGCAAATAAAAAAAAATTGTATTAACAAATTTTACCTAATATGCGATAAAAACGTCTGTACTTTGATTAAATTAATGCACATTAAATAATCGAAACTAACCGAAAGTTGAGCTTTATTAACTAGACAAATCGAGTTAGTCCAAAGTTTCTCTTAAATATTACTGTACAGTACGCTGTTAACAGAATTTATGCATTAAATATAATTTAAACTGATTATATCACTCAGAAAATGAAATAATCAAATTATCTTTATCACAGTTGGGGCAGTTTTAAGGGAGAAATAAAAAAAAAACAAGAAGAATTTCAGCTTGTGTTTTGCTTTAATTGATTTACTTAAAACAAGAAATAGAATGTAATTCGTCAGTCAAGATTGAGTTTTTTGAATGTTCCGGCGACCCCAAACATATCAGAATTGTCTTTGTTGGTTCCGAGTCTGAGATTTTCGTTTGAAAGCATATTTAGATTTTTCTCAAAAATTGGTTGGTTGTGTTCAAACACTTTGTCCCATTTCGCTGCAAGAAAAATCGTAATAAATCATCCGATTCGTCGAATTTTTCGTACCGATTAAGTTCTCTACAGTGTCAAGATCACCTCCGTAATCTCTCGGCAGACATTCTTTCGGCACCACTTTATGGAATGATTTCAAATCCTTGTGAATGCGGATCTGGAAATGTATTTAACGTGAATCGGTTCCAGTGAAAGACTGGACCTCCTCCACTCACCCTTCCATACAACTTAGACGGAAGTAATTTTTTCAGTATTGAGAGTAAAAGGTTGATAAAAGGAGGAGCGTTGATGAAATCGCAGCCGACGAATCGGCCTGAATAGGCGCCCTGTGGGGGTTTTGTGGGTTAGTGTTTTAATGTGGTTAAGGGGTTGCAGACCTGATAGAGAGATAAAAATTTTGAAATAATCAAAGGGTTGTTGCGGGCTATGGTGGCGGCGGTGTGGCCGGTGAAGTCGGCGACGAAGCGGTCACCGACGGCGTAGTCGTTGCGAATCAAGACTTCGAATAAGAGAAGGTTGTATTTGACGATGCTGATAATGTCGTAGTCGTTGGGGTCGGACGAACGCAGTTTCCACACTATGACGCGCTCGAGGTTCGGGGTTAGTTTGGGGAGGGGCAAGGTTGTGCTAAAATTTGACAATTTTTGAAAATGTTTTGCTAGAAAAATAAACTAAATTTTACTCTTTGCCAACATCTAAGACTAGTTAATTATTGCCACAACAAAAATATACAGGGTGCGCCAGAACTCGCGCCCCAGAGAACATTTTCAAGTAAGGTAAGATACCAGGAACTTTGAAAAAAATGTTTAAAAAATTCTATCTGTCAAAAAATTTTGACATTTATTAATTGACATTTGACATTTTCTTATACCTATCTATTTAATGATACTGATATACCAGGTGAATAAAAAGTATGGAACCAAACATTTTTTGCTTAAACTATTTATTTTTTGAAAAAACTAATTGATGAGTGATAAAGTACTATAAAAATGTGATAATTTAGCAAGAATAAAATTTTTCGAAATTTCCTTTTGTTTTTGAGTTCTACAAAAAAAAAATTTTAAATGGCAAATGGCACTATAAAATAATTTTTCTCATAAAAGCTATACTCTAAGGATTAAAACTATCCGCTTAATATTTAATTTTTTCAAAAAATTTTTTACACATAAATTGCAAATTTTGACAAAAAAAAATAGCATAACTCAAAAACTAAACAAAATTTCATTCTGAAAATACGGTCACATTTTTTATATTACTTTACTTTATATTAATTATTATTTGCTGGAGGCAAATGATTAAAAATAAAACCGCTTAGTTCCATACTTTATATTCACCCTGTATATGTAAAACATATACTGACTGTATATGTTTTTTTACAATTATTTAGGAAAAGGGACAAAAATTTTGCCAATAAAAGCCACAAATATTATTGAACAGAGTTACAATTTCGGATACAGCTTCCTTGTTTTCTCTTTAAATAGCCTATAGCAAAAAAACTTGAAAAATTATTTTTGCAACAGAGATAAATAGAGTCCAAGTGCAAACTTTAATCCCTGATAACTTCGAAATTTTTATAGATAATTTTTTTTTTAACATTTTTTCCATGTTCCTGGTATCTTACCTTATACGGCATTTTTCTCTGGGGCGCTAGTTCTGGCGCACTCTGTATTTTTTTATTAACTCCCTGAGAGGTTTTATATATTTTTATTCTAATTTTGACAAATGAGTGAGGTAATTTTCTGAAATTAGGATGGAAAAACTTACTGTCTCTTAGGGTCATAGGAAAATTAATTGTTAATATAGTTTTGTAAATTTTTGATATATTAAATATGAGTGGTTAACTGGAAGCAAAACATAAAAAAAATTTTTTTGGCCATTTTCAAGTCGTGGTGAGGAAATATGTGGTATGACAACTTAAAAAAATACTAAGGGCAATAGAAAGTCACACTTATTAAAGTCAAGAACATACAGGATGTCCCAACGAGTTGAAAAAGTCAGTTATAGTGCCTTAAATTCCGAAATTATAAATAAAATTATATAGGACATTAATAGATACTAATCTAATTCATCGCCTAAAATTATTTTCAACTATACAGCGTGTCTCAAAAATAAGTTACGATACAAACTTGTGTTTTTTTAAATGAAATACCATATGTTTCTTACCGTTTTTGCATGTAGATTTTTAAGACAATGTTTTAACTTTTATTGGTCGATTTTGCTTAGTTTTAAAAATCAGCTGCACTCTGTATAGTATGTCCCCGGATTGCGTTTACAAAGGGAAAGTTTTTTATGTTTTATTTTACGTCAAAACTGCAAAGAAAAACATTTTTTGCTTCACCTGAAAGGAGCAAATCTATAATTAAAACTTCATTATTCTGGCTCAGTGGAAAGAAAAGTTCATTTCTCTCGATTTTGGACTTATAATTATTTTTCTTTGCGTTTTAAATCTCATCACATTGGAGGTTTTACTTTTTTTGACAACGATGTCACTTTCACAAATAAGTTTGCGCAAGTTAAATAACAAAAATGTGGATGAAAAATATAATTGTAATAAACGGCAACTCAGAAAAACAGCTTTAAGGTAAAAAATACAAAGTCATTTTTAACAATTATTATTCAGTTAATTAATTAATTGTCAAAGTGACATCGTTGTCCAAAAATTACCGCCAATGTGATAGGAGTTATAAAGCAGAGAAAAATTATTTTAAGTTCAAAATCAAAAGAAAAATTAACTTTTCTTTCTAATGAATCAGATTAATGATGTTTTAATTACAGATTTGCTCGTTTCAGATGAAGCAAAAAACGTTTTTCCTTTACAGTTTACATTAGTTTTGATAAATTTTAAAAATGTTTTGCTAAAAACACATACAAAATTTTACTCTTTTCCAATCTACAAAACCACTTGCTTGAAATCGTTTGCCACATCGAATAGTTAATTTTTGATATGGAAAAAGTTTAGACAATTTTCGAAAATATTAACATTGTCAACTATTTGTCTACTTTTTATAAAAAAATTGACACATTATTTATGACTTTATAAACAAAATTTGACTATTTCTAGACTAGGAACTAAAATAAGCGATTCTTAACAAGCATAGATTTTTAATTTAAAAATTCTTATGAAAGTTCACTTTTTTTGAAAGCAGACTTGAAATTTTTATTTTTTAAATAAAAAAATGTTTATTATTTGTTGTTCTTTCGTTGTTTTCTAAACTTTTTGTTTTAAAATGTTCAATTCAAACCTTTTAAGTTTGTCAGATGTTAAATAGATTTTTAATTGTTATTTTAAAGCAGTGGGTAGGCTTTTTTTTATTTGATCTGATTCAATATTGAACAATATTATTATAAAATAATATTTTGTACATTTTTAACTTCAGAAAGTCATTGATACTAATAGCAAATGAAATTTGACAGTTTTAAAAAAACACAAATAAAATTTGTGACGTATTTTTTTAATAAAAACTCTCACAAAATCATTTGAGTAGTCCAAAAACGCAATAAAAAACATAACTTTCTATTTAAAATAACGAAGTTGATACCCATTTTCGGTGTAACCGCAAATACTGCCGTTATGAAAATATTCTTATTGGCTATAATCAAAATTTGAGATAAATAATAATATTACTGTTAGAACTCCCAATACTTCTAATGTGGCATTTAGCCGGAACAGCTTGTATAATTTGTCAATTTTTATTGTAAGGTATCTTAATATTAGATTGTTTGAATATTTATTTTTTTTATTGGAAATTGGTGACATTTGGACTTACGTTAACTCTCTTGAGGGTATTATGGACTTCCAATCCTCGAACATATTAAGGTGCACCCCTCTAAGCGTACAATACCCATCTAGTTTTTGCTTAGTTTGCTCGACTCGAAACTTATTTCGCAACAAACACCGTTCGATGAAATTTTCATCTGCAAACACAAAATTGACAAAAAAGCAACCACAAAACTCCATACTTACCGTCAATATCGGGTAAATGTTGTTGTTGTCGTATCCACTCGATTATTATTTTAACATCCCTTTTAATATCATCTTCTTTCACCTTAAAATATTTCCTCACTTTGACAACTTCGTCGTTGGTGACTTGTATCGCGTCCATTTTCAGTTTTAACAACGCTTAACAAAGAATTTCGAACTATTTACCATAATTTGAGGTCAGTGATGTTATCTGAAGAAGCCAAACATTGAGATACTGAATGTCTCTTGGTGGATTTGCACTGAGGTGTGTGAGGTAGAAATGACACGACAGCACGATTTTTTTCAATCAAATTCGAGATTTTGTCGATGTTTGAGGTTCAAAGATTGTGCTTGTGTTGATTTTTCGTTGTTAATTCAGTAAACAGAGACTGTTTCTTGCGATAATTGATGCTTGAGTGCATGTGTACTTGATAGGTCAAAGTGGCATTGAGAGCAATCTACAGACGGGAGTAGTGGAGGAATTATTCAATTAAGAGATTACTTCCGACAATAGAGATATTTAAGGCGTTTTGGAAGAGGAATTTTGACGAAATATAACAAAATCACAAATTATTTATTTATGTTAATCAGGATTTCAGTTTGTAGGTTTAGGATCAATAAAATTAAAAAAAAATATTTCAATAAATAATTTAATAGTATATTATGCAACGAGTCAGAAACTCGGCTATTTTCACGTAGATGAAATTTACGAGACGAAGGCGAGTGGAGTAATTCCTATGATAGGAAGTGGCCATTTCTCACGAGTTTAATACTATATTTTTTCTAATCTTTAATAATGATTGCAATATTTTTTATATTTTTTTCTTTTTATTATTATTTTTATTATAATTTTCTCCACAGTTGCAGATTGAATAACTGAAAACGGTTGAGAAAAGTACAAAACCTTTAACATGATTAAAAAAATGAAATTGTGTACATATTTTTAATTAATTTATAAATAAAAATATAAATAAACCCGTGCTAGTAAAAAGATTTATATAGGCTGAATAGTCCCAAGCCAAAACCCCATTATTTTTAAACATATCACCATACTTCTTAGAACAAAGTTTATAGTTTATTGTTATTTATTGTTTGGGATAAATGATCAATTAATTCTACTTTTTGACATTAATTCCAATGTTTTAAATGGAACAGCCTGTATATTTTATTATTTTTAGACTCCTCCTGAAATTGTCTTTCAATAAGCCTACTATTTATTATTTATCCCTAACTTTTTTTTAGGCAATATGAAAATTGAATTAAATAAAGTAGGCTGTGGAAAAAATAAAATACATACTTTAAAATGTTTTATATTAATTTATTCACTTTATTTAAGACAAGCAAACGACTGATAACAAGAAACTGTACAATTTTGATCAATAATCTTTACAGGTAATGAAATTATGGCTCGATGAGTTTTTTTATAATCCAGCCTGTATAAATATAAGTATAATAATTGTTTTAATTCTAGATTTTGGGCAATGGATATAAAAGTATAATTTCTGTAATTATTTTACTGTTATTAGCTGATGTTGCCGAAACAACCTGTTTGTAATTTTTTTATTGATGTTAATAAACGATCTGTAAGCCAGAACCAATTAATTATTATCAATATCTGAGCATTGTTGATACTATGGCAACCATAGTAATTCCACCACGGATCACTTATCCGTTGATTTATCCATTGTAAAAGTCGTTATAAATACTGAAATTCGAATTATTTTATTGTAAAAATAAAGAATAATAGATTCAGTTTAACACAAATGTGATTATTAAGTGATATTTCTTCCATCRCTTGTGCAACTGTGCACTTTTTGGCTAATGAAACAATAGTAATTATTTTTTTTAATGTTTAACGTTAAATATCTTTTTAGTTATTGATTATAAACACCTAAAAGTAAATAATTTCAAAAAGACAATTTAATAATCTTTTACTTGCAAAAACAACAAATAGGGTGTTCCATTTAAATTTTTTAAGATATTGAACTTTTGGCAAACGCCTTCATTTTTTTATCTTTGCAAATGCAATACACTAAAAAAATGTTACAAAAAAAAATGTACCTTCTTCTTTGCGGTAGTAAAAAAATATTTCTAGATGTTTTAGTTTTTGTGTAATAAATTTTTTAAAAGTGCATGTTTTCGTCAAAAAACCGTCTTATTTCTAAAAAGATTCAAAATCGACCAATACAAGTTAAGTTAAAAACATTGTTGTAAAAATCTACATCCCAAAATGCTAAAAAACATGGTGTTTCATAAATAAAACACAAGTTTGTATTGTAACTCTTTTTTGAGACATGCTGTATGGTTGAAAATAAGTTTAGGTGATGCACTAGATTAGTATTTATCAATGTCCTATACAATTTTTTTAAATTTTACCATTTAAAGGTCACTAATGGAGTTTTTCAACTCGCTGGGACATCCTGTATGCAAAATCCTTAGTAACACTAAATAGACATAAAAAAATGTCAAATGTCAAATGTCAAATTTTTTTCATAAATAGTATTTTTTAAATATTTTTTCCATGTTCCGGGTATCTTATCTGACTTGACGCGAGTTCTTAAACACTCTGTAGAGAGTTGCTAAGTTGCGTATGTTATTAATTTAATTAATTAGCAGCGCAAGAAAAGAAAACATCTTCATTATCAATAACCTTTGCGACTTTGCAAACACGAAATTTGAAATAAATATCTATTATTTTTTGAAACACTGTTTATATTTATAATAATTGCTAGTTTAGGTCTTACTGATATTGATAAATTATTGTTGCTACAATTAATATTGAATGTTTAATATCTTTTCATTTATCAATTCTAGACTTTAAAAGTTTATTTTTTTAGTGTTGCATTTAATTTTTTTAAGTTATTTAACTTTTTACTCTTTACAAATGCAAAACACCAAAAAATTGTTACAGCTTTAAATTCTGTAGTTTCTTCTTTGCAGAAGTAAGAAAAAAAATGTTCTAGCTGTCGTAGTTTTTGTGTAATCAATTTTTAAAAAATGCATGTTTTCGTAAGAAAACCGTGTTATTACTAAAACTAAGCAAAATCGACTAATAAAAGTTTAGCGTAAAAACTTTGTTTTAAAAGGCTACATCCAAAAATGCCAAGAAACGTACGGTGTTTCATTTAAAAAAAATCACAAGTTTATATCGTAACTTATTTTTGGGACATGCTGTATGGTTGAAAATAATTTTAGGCGATGGACTAGATTAGTACCTATCAATGTCCTATATTTATTTTTTTTTAATTTTACCATTAACCACTATAGGACTTTTTTAACTCCCTGGGACACCTGTATGTTTTTTTTTACAATTATTAGTTAAAGGTACAACAATTTTTCTAATTAAAGCCACAAAATAACGTTAAACTAGTTACAATATCTTGTAATAGCCTGCAGTAAAAAACATGTAAAATTATTTTTCCAACAGAAATAAATAAGCTCAAAATGGAAAATTTCTAAATTTTTATAAACAGAATTTTTTTACATTTTTGTGTATGTTCCTGATATCTTACCTTACATAGCATTTTTTCTTCGTGGTGCGAGTTTTGAAACACTGTAATCCAAATACGACATTTCGGAGTCCGTTTCTAGTTGCTGTAATTAGTATACAAGTTCTAACTATGTCAAATTAATGCGATTAAAACACTTTAAAACAAATTGACGATTCGCGTATAATTAAAGCAGTAGATTTTATAACATCTCGAGCGAGGTAACTCAGTTCGAGTTGTATGTTAAATATGTTTACAAGCGTTTATATGTACTAGAATTGCTAATATCGTAAATTAGATATAGTACAGGTTGATTAGAACGTGATTAAGTGACAGTATATAACACATACAATTTAATCCAAACGAGGCAATTTGTTACAAAACTATTTCATTTCAAAAATGAAATTTTTAAATAGAGCTTCGGTCCACTTGACTCGGAATCGCGTTGAAATCTCGTCCGGATTAAAACGCGAAGTAGTGAAGAGGAATTATCAATTACCCGTCGGTCGTATTCAGACGCGATTCCGGCCCAACGACAAATTGAATTTTTCCACAAATTGTTTCATTTTATGCATCATAAATCCGAAAAATCGCAGTCACGAACAGACGCCCTGGAAAAAAATCCAATCAATCCGGACCACGAAAATTAATAATAAGCGGACCGGCGCGGCGTGTGCGATTTTAAAGCGTCGACAATAAATTCGACAAACTTACCGGAAGAATCGTAGAGAACCGGCCTGAAAATGAGAGATAAGAATAAGAATACGTGGGAAGTCATTACTGAAAATCGGAGAATTTCGACGATAATTATTTTTGAGGGCATGACCGATTCGAGGAACGACTCGCGACGCCGCAAATCGACAAATCCACTAAGAAAGTAGAATTTTATAAGTGTGTGTTGAGAAAAATGGAAAAATTTATTGAAAAATTTACTTATTACTTAAAATCAATTATTAAATCAATCGGGAAAAAGACTAAAAATGGCAAGTGAAGACTGAAAATCATGATTTACACTAAAATGTAAAAAAATTACATCAGTGTAAAATGTAGAAAAAAATTGTTAAAATTACGCTAAATGTTTTGAGAAACGAAATGTGACGCCGCAAAAAAAGTACAATTTTAATACTGGATGTAGAGAAAAAATTACTTATTATTACTTAAAATCAATACCAAAATCAATCAAGTCTAAAAATGGCAAGTGAAAACAGAAAATCAGGATGTGCACTAAAATGTTTACAATTACATTAGTGTAGAATGCAAAGTCGCGGTCAAATCAGTGGCCATTTAATTTATTGCAAAGTTGGCAGTTCTTAGCCTGTCATCTCTAGTGTGTGGGTTGTGCCTATGTTGGCAGCAGAAATAACTAAATTATGTCAACAATTGTGACAGGTGTAGTAGATTTTATATGTGAAGTATTTTAGCCCGACTTTTTCGGAATTGTCATTTTTGATAGATAAGAAAAACAATTCTATGTTTAAAGTCGGATTTATACAACTCAATTTTTACAAATTTACACAGGAAAGTGGCCAGTATGAATTGACCGTGACTTTAGAAAAGTTTCTTAAAATTACGCTAAATATTTTGAGGGACAACTTGCAACGCCGCAAATTTCCTAAAAAGTATAATTTTAGAGGTGTAGCGAAAAATCAAAAACAAAAAAAAACTCTCTTAATACTTAAATAAAAAATCATAAATCAATAGAAAGTTCTAAGAATAGCAGTGAAGCCTGAAAATCAGAGTTTACACTAAAATGTCTAAAATAACATTAGTGTAAAATGTAACAAATTTTGGTAAAATGACACTAAATATTTTGAGGAATGACTTGCTACGCCGCAAATCGACAAATCAGTTAAGAAACTATAATTTTATAAGTGGATGTAAAGAAAAATGAATAAAATTGATACAAAATACTTATTTATTATTACTTAAAATCAATAACTAAAT